GTATTATACCTTCATCACCTGCAAACGGAGTTTATATCTCTCAATTGATTCGATGCGCAAGAGCATGCTCTACGTATGTACAATTTCTAAAACAAGGTAAATTATTGACAAACAAGTTAATGAAACAAGAATATCAGCAGTCTCATTTAAAATCATCATTTCGTAAGTTCTATGGTCGATACAATGACCTTGTCAGAAAATACAGTCTGTCATTGAATCAAATGCTGACTGGCGTTTTTCACACTAATTGTTCGTCCATTATTTTACAATGAATTAAATTTACGACGGATTATCCGTTATTTCCTAATCATGACAAGAATCACACGGCGGGTGTGACCGTTCGGCAGGGGACCTCACTCCTCCATGGCACCTGATCACACTTCTGATGTTTTGCATGTCCATGTTTGCTCTGCTCATATTTTGTATTGTTTTTTTGGTCTTTTAGCTTGAATACTGTTCTTTATCTCCATATTTCATTTCAAAACAATGGAGCGAAGACCCTTTCATATCGCAAAATAGTGTTAAAGTATGAGAAAATGACATTTTTTGCCCGTGTGTGTATAAAATTTCATTGGCAAATGATTTAAATCTTTCTGATATTTTTACAAATTGGAAAAATTTATCATTAAGAATGCATAAATGTTCGATGAAATATCAAGGAAAATATATTTGAGATCTAATCTTTCAATTTTATGTTTGTCACAATGTGGGCTTTTTGTTCGTCATCTTCACCCATCTTCCTGTCTGTATATAATATAAAAATTACAATTTCTTTTTCAAACCAAAGAAATGAGTGTCTGATATATTGATGAATTGATGAATTAGTATTCTGAAGATCTACATCAGTATCCTCTATATATATTTCAAAAGTGACAAGAAATAAATTGCTCTTGTGAGCACCAATTGATTTTATCTAGTACTCAGAATAAAAAAAGAATGCATTTTGGTCTAAATATTTTAATGCAGACAACCTTCCTCTTTTGCAGAGGTTGGAAAGGTCTTCTTTTATGTTCATAACTATATGTAATTTGAAAATAAAGAGTCTGAAAAATATGTAATGTGAAGTAAGTTCACAACCATGAAAAGTGAGCACAATTTCCAACTCGGGTACCAATATCATAGCACGGGTACCAGCTAACAGATGAAGCAAGCTCTCCAGGATGCTTGGCTGAGATTAATGAGCAAATATTGAGGAATCGGGCGTAATCTATGAGACGGTTAAAATAGTTTGTCACTAATAAAGCAGCATCGTACTAGGGCCAAATAAAAACGATAAAAATTAATCTGATATCGCCTATTCCAGATTGATAAATTTGGAAGTTTTTAAAGGAGGCGGTTAATTAGACGACGGATTATGCCATTTATTTCAGCAAATTGCAGCCCCGACTCCACGTCTGAAGTTTCTTTTGAGATGCTCTGCTCGTCTGCTTGGCATCTCGGCTATTTCAGGTATTAAACGGCGGGAAATGAAATGATACATCTTGTGTTTATTGATCACTGTTTATCTTTAAATAAATCCGACTAATATTTGTCAATGGAAGGTTTCGCGTGCCACGGGCTTACCTCAGTTCATTATCAAGTTTTTAAAGATTCCTTTATTTACATGGTCTTTGATGATTGCTTAATCATCAGTGTCGTATCGTCATTTTAAATTTGGAATCTGGGGCCCATCCGGTCATCTCAATAGAGGCCTCTACCCGCAATAATCACACACTTAAATATTTATGTAATAGTTTTACCATCAATGAAATCTGGAGATTACAGGGTCATCTGGAATATTTCTTTGATGGTATCTACCGCACATATTTATTGAATCTGTCTATTTCTTAAGAGTATTTAAAAACTCTTGCGGATTACTATTATGCGGGAATCATAAGGAAAAACTTGCAATTTTTTGCCATTACAATTGCTAGTAAAAGTTTGGCCATTTTTCTTTCGAGACCTAGCTTGTCCACTATAACTGTACACAAAGAAACTTTCAAAAAATCTTGTCATTTTTGTTTGACCCCTGTAGCCAAAAATGGAACTGCAACAGTTTATTTAAGGAACAATTTGGCTACTTTGTTTCCATGCCATATTATAAGAAAATTTTGCATTCCCCATTTATTTTTTCAGAATTTTGAAGATGTGGCTTTCGTAGATGGAACGATCTATCGTTAAAATAACAAACTTTCCTGCGGACCCAGTTTAAAGTGTGGCGAGGGTGGGTCCCGAGACATATGCAGTTAGATTGTTCTAACTTTGACTTTTGCTAAATATCGGTCATAGCATCTTCTTTCAGACCCGTGCAAAATGAAAGCTCTGACAGTAATATATTATGTTAATATAAAATGTTAATGTTTTTCAACAAGAAAGCAATAAATAATGCATGAATATTGAAGGTGAACTACATAAAGACATGATAAACATGATATTTTCCACATAAAATCACGAAAAGAGCATAATAATCACTTCCTTTGAATATACAGTAGTTTTTAATCAGTTTACTCAAGTGCAGACTCCGAGTACGACCAAATTTTACAACCGAGGCAAGCTACTGACAGATATGTTGATGTTACAGAGATTTAAACCTGTTCAAGATATTTTGTAAATTCTACAGTCGTTATTACCACATTAGTAATTATAACCTTTCACTGGGTACTTTTAGCACCCATATTATTGGCACCTGACTTGTTTAATTTTACCAATTCCTTTTTTAATTTATTAATATATTTACTGTTTACACCATTTTGACTGGCATTTTTTTGTCCAAATGTGAAATAACAACAAATGGGGGCAGTGATCAATTCATGTACTTATTAAAGGCTGAAAGTTATCTGTATTTAAGTAGAAGAGAAACAAGAGGCCCAGGGGCCACAGCGCTCACCTGAGCACATGCTTCATCTCCCACTTACAAACTTGAATCTACAAAAAAATAAAAACTAATCCATTGAAAGCACTGAAAAGAATATTTTAAAAATTTCTATATATCTTATTGAATATTCCATTTGTTAGAAACTTCACATATGCATGTTTCACTTTTTTTTTAATTATGCTTTCAAAATTAAGAAATTCCACTTTTTTTTTTTTTCCTTTTTTTTTTGGTTACATGAAAAGTTTAAATCTCGAGTTTAAACTTATCTATAACGATGGTATACAAACTTTTAATGTAACATTTTGTTTGAAAAAAAAAGAAATGAAATAAACCATTGTAGACAAGGTTTTGTTTTTTTATTCATATACAATTTAGGTACATAAAAGATACTCTATAATAAAGTATGGTTTTAATTTAAAGGTTTTTTTCCAACAATATATTAATGAAAATTAGATTTTTTACATAACTATGGAAAAAAAAAAGAACAACACAACAAGAACATATTAAGCCCGGTACACAAACACTTAATAATGTGAAGCACTAGTAAACACCAATCTGTCCAGTATTGCATAGACCCAATCGTCATCCATATTATTTCATATAATATTTATTATAATTAAATGTCCTTTTTTTAATTTGGTAAAATAAGTTGAAAATATACCTCACTGGTCTGCAAGTGTCATGAACTAGCATTTTATTATGGTGGCATTTTTTTGTCCAAATGTGAAATAACAACAAATGGGGGCAGTTATATCTTACATGTACTTATTAAAGGTGAAAGTTCAGTCCTGTATTTAACTAGAACAGATAAAAAAAAAACTGAGTAGAATGAGGTAAACCAGGAGATCAGCTAGGAAATACTATTGAACTGTAAACTAATCTTTGTGTCTGACTTTACTAACGTCAGTAAAATCAATCCTTTAATTTTTTGGTGGACGGATGAATCATTTACAATAATTGCCGAAGAAAGGTAACTCTAACCACTTCATTTCTAAAACTGGATATGAATTCTTTATAGAGTTGTGCCATCTGATATGAAAACCACGGTCAGTTGACTATTTGGCCATACATTTTCTTTAAAATCTCTATAGCATTTATTTCTAAATTTTAATAAAATACTAAACATATTTTCTTCAGTACTTCAGATCCATATAAAATAATTGAAAACATTCACATTTTGTATAAAAATTGAAAACACAATGGAAGTGGTTTTGGATATGGATGTGTTGAAATGTAGAGTAGGGAGAGTGGTAATGAAGAAATGGAGAATGATTGATGAAGCCTGACATATAATCTATATCTGGTGTATACAGTCTAGCATATCAATTTAATTCATTTAATACAAAAATTTTAATTCAGATTGGTTTACATCTGGCACTATTTGATAAATGTCATGGTAACCACTTCTACATCAAGCTAATGTATTCTACACTGTAGGATATTTGAATGCAAGTAAAAAATTTGATAATTGTTCACAATTTAACTTTTGTAATCCCAACTGTAATTTGACTATCAAACCATATCCAGAAATTAACCTCTATTTATTTCTTTGTACAATCATAACTCTTATTAAAGATGCAAAATTTAGTCTTTCTGGAAATTCCTTTGGTTCGATATTCTTTATTGAAAAAAATGTCTCTCTTTGAATATATATTCAAATTTCTGAATAAATATTCACTGTACATGAAGCAGAGAAAAAAGTTATGTAAAAAAAAATCCTGAAAGATCCCTTTGAAAAAACATTGATATCTTAACATGGAACTGCTTTATATTGCCTGATTTTCAAATGAGGTTTCGGGGGAAAAAAATACAAAAGAAGTGTTATATTTACACCAATGTATTATGCGTAGGTAAATAGATATTAAGTGAACACAAGATTTATCCCTGCCTGATACAGCAGAGTTTCAAAACAAACATGATGTAACCCCTGAAAAAAAAATGATTTGACCCACACATTTGGTATCGATCTATGGAACAGAATAATCCATCCATGTCCTGATTACTCTGTGAATAGGAAAGTAATTGATGAGTATTGAAATTACAATAATAATTGACTATCTACTACTAATTAACTGTTGTAATTACAAAGTATACATGGATATGTGAGTATTGAGATTTAACATGAATTCTAATCAAGCTGAGGAAGTATAATGTAACCAATACATATGAACTCTAGTTTCAACCCTAATCAGTAAACAACTGTCTTATCTGCAATAAAAATCCTTACAGATGAGTTCTTTCTAAAGATATGCAAGATTTACCGACTTAATTTGTAAACGGAATACTGTAGATCACTTAATTTTCGTGACACCTTATTTTCACGAGACAGTCATTGACTTTTTATAAGCGAGACAAAATTTTCAGGAATTGTGGTCATTGCTCTACATAATCTTAAGGAATTCTATTATACACGAGAATGAATACGCGAAAATAAAGTTCTCGCGAATAAAAAGTGATTTACAGTACCTATTTTATGATAACCAATAAAAAGATGATACTGATATCTTTTCACAAATTACACAAAATCCATCCTTCAACTTCAGTACACCAAAGATGAAATTCAAAATATGGTCACAATATTTTTTTTCAATGCCAACATAATCCTTTTTACATGGTAATTAAGTTAAGAAAGACAACTAGATATAAAGTTAGCACAAACAAGCTAGATACGTCAATGCACAAACATAACACAATACAGATAATTATAATGCTATCTGATTTGGGACTCCATATATATATGTAGTACAACAATCAATAGAAAAATTTGGTGCATGGTTTTGCACCATCAATAACTACGTACATGTATTTATAAAATACGGTTTTCTGCGATAAATCACATGATTGCTGAATAACATACACTCTAAAACTAGAACAGTTAGCCGATTGTGTCACTAGAAGAACTGATATGGATAAAAGGGCGGGTACCCTCAGTGGTGATGATTAACACAAATGAGGTATGGATAGAATCTAATATATCACGGAGGTGGTAAAAGTATAACTTTGGTCAGACAGAAGTTTCTCTGAATACTCGTGTGGACGTGCCATTCTGCTGACGAATGTGAATGTACTTGGTTGTGTCCACATGGGAGATTTTGACCTGGGTGCTTGGAATAATGACCTCTGTTGCTGTCGGCAACTGTAGTAATTCTGGGGCCGATACGGTTGGGGCTGAAAAAAGATTACAGTTAAATAATTAGATTGCAACCATTACTCTTCAATGCAGTGAGTTCCACTATTTCTCAATAGAAAAATTGTATACACTTGAGTTTATTGTATACATAAGTATTGTCAATACTTCTTTTGAAACAAACAGAGAACACTTCACAAAATCGTAGAATACGTCAAACAAATATTTGGAAAAAGGTCAAGTGCATGCAGAAAGGAAAACGTTTTGGTCGAAAGAAAAACGGGTGCATAGGGCATTATATCTTATGAATTAAAGGCATTATAAGGCTTTTGAGCTCCATTTTTACAAATTTTTCTTAGCTCTTTTAACTATGGGTTCAGGTTTATATGATTCATAAAAAGTATAGCAAGTAGGAAATATAAGTACAATGTGTTCCACATTTTATTTTACCTGTTTTGAATGATTAGGGTTTAGTGTTAATCTCTAATTACTTTATAGATTAGAACTAACAAGACAACTAGTAGTAATTAATACATATACATATACTATATTATTTATGTTTACTACAGCTTTTTACTCAGAAACATTAACATTATACACATCTTTTTAAAACATAGCAAACAACACACATTTTTAGTAATATAAAGCTAATTATAATTGATCTGTTTTCACTGCAGTCATGACAAATCTCATGCAGACAAGGAAGATCCAAGTTTTATTGACATGAAAATTCTGCTTTAAAAAAATATATATGCACTTCCCTAAAAGCAATTTAATTGAATTTTTTCCCAATCGCATTGAATATAAAGTTTTTGATTCAAAATAATAATTGTGAAATAAATAAAATCTAGGGAAATAGTAACGTGCAATAAAAGAGAAATAAAATAATAAAAGGGAAAAGAAAAAAATAATGATAAAATGAACTCACAACACCAAACACTGGTCAACAGGAGGATCATAACAAGACACAAGAACACGGACACAGTCTTCCTCTGGGATTGCTCGACTCCACATTTCTCTCTCTCCCTTCCCCATTTTTCATCAATGCCGAATTTTCATTAGGTTCATCTACTGTGCACCCTTGTTGTTCCTTCTTAACAAACCCATCATGCTCATGCAAATTATTGGGAGAAACAACAGACAAGACAACATCATCATGCTCTACAGCGGCAGTTGTATGGGGGCCACCACCAGTTACATGTCTGTTGGGGCTCGTCTCTTGCGAGACGGAGGGGGACAGCTCGGACTGACTGGTACTAGCCGAGTCTGAGTTTACAGTCTTAACGTGTTCAGAGTCATCTTCCGTTTCTGTGTCATTCATGTCTTCAGAAGAAGAGCTATGATGTCTGGCCCTCGGCCTTGTTCTAGGGCGGGGCCAATGCAGTAATACTTTTTCCATACTTACAACTTGCTTTGCAATTTCTACAAATGACGATCGTCTCTTAACAGGAGAACCATCGGATAGAAAGTTAATGGAGGGCTTTTGTGGGGAAGGTTTAAGCCGGACAGAGTTTTTAAATTCTGGAAGGAGTGCTTGCTCATTAGCAAATGTGGAGTAGTCATGAATATTTATGTCATTAATGTTGTCCACTTTAACCGTTTCCCCATTGATGGACAGGGTACTACACAGAGGAGGTTTGAGGTCGGATTTGGAAAGATTTTCTTTACCTTGACTCCGCTTGAGGTTCAGGAATAAATATACAGGCTGAAAAAGAGAAAAATATACATGTACAATGTATAAACCACACCTTGTGAAAGTATCTTTTATACATATAGTTTTATGCAGTGTATGGTTTTCAGAATTACTGTCCATGATTTATAGACTACATATATTTCAAAGGGCAGACATTTCTTTTTATTTTAGGGTTATCTCTGAAGAAGAGTTCATTAATGACTTCCTTAACACTGCTTGTTTTGTTTCTGATTTTTCAAAGCGTTTGACACATTGAAAATCGTCATGATAAATACAGAAATAATGCCTTAACAGGGTATTTTCAAACTGCTTTATTCAATGCTATCATTACACAGCAATATAGTCCAACCATCATCTTGTATGAAATGTCAAGTCATAGTTCTAATAATGACCAAGCTACATGTATGATTGATAGTTTCATAGAAACCTATTCAGCCCACTGAGGTAAAGAAAACTCCCTGAATTCCTATTGGACTTACTTTGTGGTCACCCATACAGGTCTCTCGTCCTATCACATCATACTTAGGTTTGTGTTTTTCATCCTAAAAATAGATATCAAAATAAATTTCAAAAATATTCACACTTACATTTCATGCATAATGTACAGCTTTCATTCATTTTTTTAATCAGTATCTTTTTCCTGGTTAAAAGTCTGTCTAGTAATACGTTCTTACATTGACAATGATATTTTTGGCACTGTGGGACAACAGTATTCTGTCACACCATGAGGGGCATCTGGTTTTCATGTAGGACAGCCCATCATTCACATCCTCACAAAAAGGATAGCTGAAAAAATACATAATGTAATTAAGAAATAAATAACAAGTTTATAAACTTCAATGGGAATTGAAGTGGGTCGGTCATGTGATCAAATCCTGTGAAGGACAAAGGCCGTCTCAGAAGATTTGATCACGGACCCACTTCAATTCCCATTGAAGTTTGTAAACTTAATATTTATTACTTATATATACATTTGAGACAGACAATTGAATATTTTCGAATTTAAATTATTGCACTAACCGTCCGTCGTAGATTTTGAAAAATGACGCAAGGTGTAAATCGGCTTGCATGGCGGTTATGCTTCGAATTCATTAGGCTAAAGAATCTATTTCGAAGGGAATATTTTGTGAAAGGCTAATTGTGATCAGTAATAGTGAACAGATTGTTGTCTGGGAATATTTTTATACGTGAAAAATGATAATCGATGCTGAAAAGACACAAGAAACACGTCCGAAGTTTGATGATAAAAAGTTGGAGGAATTTCGGTCACCGGAAAGGAATGGATGGATCCGATGGATTGAGACACTTGTCCGAGCCAGTTAATTTGCAATTTGATCAAAAACATTCTACAGTTTCAGTAACTAAAGGTATACTTATCGTAAAACACTGATAAACACGGAGACATTGGCCACAGCTTTACATTGAACTACGAAAACGCCGAGGTGTTTGGCAGCTGTTCATGGTATGATTGCCATGATATTTTCCAACAGATTTACACATTTATCGTGAGTAAAATTTAAAGATAAAATAAAAGTTATCATAAAAATTTAACCAAAGGTCTACCCCCCGAAAATAGGGATGAACGTTAGAGACTGTGCAGCTGACAAAAGTGAAGAAAAATGTAAACAAACGCTAGGCTCCTAGTTTTCTCTATGTACACAGGTTGAATCGATACAGTAGCCCAAAAACTGTATGAAATACTTGTTTACATCTTAAATAAAAACATAGGTAATCAGAGATTACAGAGCTCACCTCAACGAATGTTGTCTTTAAGTAAGGCAAAGTCACACAATTAACCAACAAAAAGTATACATTCCAAAAATGAAAATATGTAAGCAATTTTGATCTGATACTTTGAAATAGACATACATAAAAAATTTAAACTAGTTCTTCTTCATGAAAATGTAATGAAAATCCAGCATCTGAAGCAAATTTTAGAGTTTTCATCTCTTGATGCAACATTTGTGCAAGTTTGGTTTATACAATGTTATATAAGCCTTATAGTTTTTGGTAATAGACCTGCAACCTTAACTTTTACCTTGTCTATTATCTGAAAATGTATGTCAAATTCAGCATCCGAAGCAAGTCCATTAGTATGCATCCTAAGATGTATCATCCATGCAAGTTTGCTCATTATAGGGCTCATAGTTTATTGGAAATGAAACATGCATCAAAAACTAACATTTTCACTCATCCACAAAAAGTAGGTCAGATTCAGCATCCGAAGCAAGCCTGGTAGTATGCATCCTTAGATGTATCATCTATGCAAGATTGGTCATTAAAGAACTCATAGTTCCTTGGAAATGAAACCTGCACCAAAAACTTTTACCTGTTCACTCAACTGGAAAATATAGGTCAGATTCAGCATCCGAAGCAAGCCTGGTAGTGTGCATCTTTAGATGTATCATCCATGCAAGTTTGGTCAACATAGGGCTTAAAGTTACTTGCAAATGAACCCTACACCCAAAACTGCACCAAAAATGTTAACCTGCTCCAAAAACATTAACCTGGTCATTCCTTTGCTGAAATTGCAGCATCTGAAACTTTGTCTGGTACAATGAAAGACACTAAAACCATCTTCCATGCATGTCTAACCAATATAGGACACAGAAGTAATTTAAAAGAAAACTGCTCCAAAAAACTTAACCTTAACCTGGGACGCCGACACTGACGCCGACGGTATCACATAAGCTCCCCCCAACTTCGTTGAGGTGAGCTAAAAATTATCATTTTACTCGCTTATTTTGTTCATTTTTATCCATGAAAAGCAAGTAAAGCAGGTCGGTAGATATTATTGCGCCGTGTGATTAGGTCACATATTGACCTCTGACCTCTGACAAACTTCATACAAAATTGAAGATATTATCTCTCTGTATGTTTATATAATGGAGAGATACATGTACCACAAATGTATATATTAAGAATAACATAGGGAAAGAGTTATCCTTCCTGGCATACATTGAGATCAATTTATTCTTACCTTGGAGGGAAGGAAATTTCAAATTCTGACACTTTTTCTTTGTAGGATTGCATTTCAACATCATATCTATGTAACTACAATGGTAAGAACAGAGATGCTTAGTTATAACAATTCTGAAATTTACCATAGATTGCATTCCTACATTATACATCTTCTCAACTTCAATGATGAAACAGGAACTTTAAGAAATAAGATTCTAGTTCTTTATATTTGTTAGATATAGTTTACACATCATATACACTCGAAGTGATGACTGCATGACCAGCAGGACCCCGAGTTCCTTATCCATAACCTTTCATATCTCCACCCACTTCAAGTGGACTCAAGTGACGGAAATTTGGGTAAAGGTTAAAAAGTATTATCAAATCGCATACATTTTGTCTCTTAGAAATCACGGGTGAAGAAAATTTTAAAAGATATAATGCGCATTTTTAATATATAACTAGACTGGTTTCTTCCCAAGACTTGTACCCCCAAATATGAATATCACAATGTTTAGTAGATGGAATATAGCTCATTATAGAAGTTAAATAAAGGTCAGGTACAGCATCTGAAGCAAGTATCAGACTTTGTATCTACAATATACAGGAACAAGAGATGTTTGTAAAACACTTATGCCCCCCTCCTCCCAAATTGGAATTTTTCTAAGTCCAAAAGGGCATAACTCTGTCAAAAATAGCGCAATCTTACCCAAAGCAGATCTTGACCTAGATAGTCATCTGATAAATCTGTATACTAAATTTCATCTCAGTATGTGCAACAGTTGCAAAGAAAATGTATGGAAACTGTATATAATTGAAATTTTTCTAAGTCCAAGGGGCATAACTCTGTCAAAAATGGTGCAATTGTATCCAAAACAGATCTTGACCTAGATATTAATGTGATATAACTGTATACCAAATTTCATTTCAGTATGTGCAACGGTTGCAAAGAAATTGAGCGGAAACCGCAAATAATTGAAATTTTTCTAAGTTCAAGGGGCATAACTCTGTCAACAATGGTGCATTCGTACCCAAAACAGTTCTTGACCTAGATATTCATGTGATATATCTGTATACCAAATTTCAATTCAGTATGTACAACGGTTTCAAAGAAAATGAACGGAAACTGCAAATAATTGAAATTTTTCTAAGTTGAAGGGGCATAACTCTGTCAAAAAATCGTACCCAAAACAGAACTTGACCTAGATATTCATGTGATATATCTGTATACCAAATTTCATCTCAGTATGTGCAACAGTTGCAAAGAAAATGTATGGAAACTGCATATAATTGAAATTTTTCTAAGTCCAAGGGGCATAACTCTGTCAAAAATGGTGCAATCGTATCCAAAACAGATCTTGACCTAGATATTAATGTGATATAACTGTATACCAAATTTCATTTCAGTATGTGCAACGGTTGCAAAGAAATTGAGCGGAAACCGCAAATAATTGAAATTTTTCTAAGTTCAAGGGGCATAACTCTGTCAACAATGGTGCATTCGTACCCAAAACAGAACTTGACCTAGATATTCATGTGATATATCTGTATAACAAATTTCATCTCAGTATGTGCAACAGTTGCAAAGAAAATGTATGGAAACTGCATATAATTGAAATTTTTCTAAGTCCAAGGGGCATAACTCTGTCAAAAATGGTGCAATCGTATCCAAAACAGATCTTGACCTATCTTGACCTAGATATTAATGTGATATAACTGTATACCAAATTTCATTTCAGTATGTGCAACGGTTGCAAAGAAATTGAGCGGAAACCGCAAATAATTGAAATTTTTCTAAGTTCAAGGGGCATAACTCTGTCAACAATGGTGCATTCGTACCCAAAACAGTTCTTGACCTAGATATTCATGTGATATATCTGTATACCAAATTTCATTTCAGTATGTACAACGGTTTCAAAGAAAATGAACGGAAACTGCAAATAATTGAAATTTTTCTAAGTTGAAGGGGCATAACTCTGTCAAAAATGGTGCGATCGTACCCAAAACAGAACTTGACCTAGATATTCATGTGATATATCTGTATACCAAATTTCATCTCAGTATGTGCAACAGTTGCAAAGAAAATGTATGGAAACTGCATATAATTGAAATTTTTCTAAGTCCAAGGGGCATAACTCTGTCAAAAATGGTGCAATCGTATCCAAAACAGATCTTGACCTAGATATTAATGTGATATAACTGTATACCAAATTTCATTTCAGTATGTGCAACGGTTGCAAAGAAATTGAGTGGAAACTGCAAATAATTGAAATTTTTCTAAGTCCAAGGGGCATAACTCTGTCAACAATGGTGCATTCGTACCCAAAACAGATCTTGACCTAGATATTAATGTGATATAACTGTATACCAAATTTCATTTCAGTATGTGCAACGGTTGCAAAGAAATTGAGCGGAAACCGCAAATAATTGAAATTTTTCTAAGTTCAAGGGGCATAACTCTGTCAAAAATGGTGAGATCGTACCCAAAACAGAACTTGACCTAGATATTCATGTCATATATCTGTATACCAAATTTCATTTCAGTATGTACAACGGTTTCAAAGAAAATGAACGGAAACTGCAAATAATTGAAATTTTTCTAAGTTGAAGGGGCATAACTCTGTCAAAAATGGTGCGATCGTACCCAAAACAGAACTTGACCTAGATATTCATGTGATATATCTGTATACCAAATTTCATCTCAGTATGTGCAACAGTTGCAAAGAAAATGTATGGAAACTGCATATAATTGAAATTTTTCTAAGTCCAAGGGGCATAACTCTGTCAAAAATGGTGCAATCGTATCCAAAACAGATCTTGACCTAGATATTAATGTGATATAACTGTATACCAAATTTCATTTCAGTATGTGCAACGGTTGCAAAGAAATTGAGCGGAAACCGCAAATAATTGAAATTTTTCTAAGTTCAAGGGGCATAACTCTGTCAACAATGGTGCATTCGTACCCAAAACAGAACTTGACATAGATATTCATGTGATATATCTGTATACCAAATTCCATCTCAGTATGTGCAACAGTTGCAAAGAAAATGTATGGAAACTGCATATAATTGAAATTTTTCTAAGTCCAAGGGGCATAACTCTGTCAAAAATGGTGCAATCGTATCCAAAACAGATCTTGACCTAGATATTAATGTGATATAACTGTATACCAAATTTCATTTCAGTATGTGCAACGGTTGCAAAGAAATTGAGCGGAAACCGCAAATAATTGAAATTTTTCTAAGTTCAAGGGGCATAACTCTGTCAACAATGGTGCATTCGTACCCAAAACAGAACTTGACCTAGATATTCATGTGATATATCTGTATACCAAATTTCATTTCAGTATGTACAACAGTTTCAAAGAAAATGAACGGAAACTGCAAATAATTGAAATTTTTCTAAGTCCAAGGGGCATAACTCTGTCAAAAATGGTGCGATCGTACCCAAAACAGAACTTGACCTAGATATTCATGTGATATATCTGTATACCAAATTTCATCTCAGTATGTGCAACAGTTGCAAAGAAAATGTATGGAAACTGCAAATAATTGAAATTTTTCTAAGTCCAAGGGGCATAACTCTGTCAAAAATGGTGCAATCGTATCCAAAACAGATCTTGACCTAGATATTTATGTGATATAACTGTATACCAAATTTCATTTCAGTATGTGCAACGGTTGCAAAGAAATTGAGCGGAAACCGCAAATAATTGAAATTTTTCTAAGTTCAAGGGGCATAACTCTGTCAACAATGGTGCATTCGTACCCAAAACAGAACTTGACCTAGATATTCATGTGATATATCTGTATACCAAATTTCATTTCAGTATGTACAACAGTTTCAAAGAAAATGAACAGAAACTGCAAATAATTGAAATTTTTCTAAGTCCAAGGGGCATAACTCTGTCAAAAATGGTGCGATCGTACCCAAAACAGAACTTGAACTAGATATTCATGTGATATATCTGTATACCAAATTTCATTTCAGTATGTGCAATGGTTACGAAGAAAATGAACGGAAACTAAGTGGACCGACAGACCGACCGGCCGACAGACAGCAGCAAAGCAATATGCCCTCCCTTCTTCGAAGGGGGGCATAAATATGCACCCTGTATACAAGTTTGATCAGGGATACTACTTTAACAGAGCTTGGGAAGAAGTATAAATGATGAACATTATTGGAGCCAATAAAATCTAAATACGAGTCGGATTTTGCACAAGTAGGGGTTGGATACTTCCTGTGATAAGCTAAAGCAGGGAAAGTTTCCATGGACATTCAGGTATCAAAATGAGGAAATGCAGCTCTGTGTGTGTGTGGAGTAGGGGGGGGGGGGGGGGGTAATATGTTTTCCTTACAACAATCAATTTTGTATTTTCATACATGTGCATGTACTCAAATAAAATCAAAATTTTAAGGAATAAAAAATAATTTATACACTCTTAGCCCTTTTTGAGAAAACTTCTGAGTGCTTGTCATGGTGGTCAAAGCCTTTAGTTTCTACGGTCAAGACAACCTAAAAATACAATTACAGGTTATAATCTCAGCAAGGACAGGTAATAATCTACAATGTAAGCAGACATTTAAGTACATCACTCTTTGCATAAGCAACAAAAGGAAACTATGTATGCAAGAAACATTGTTCAAAATTTATATGTAGCCATGAAAATAATATCAATCTGAATCTATTTACAGTACATATATACACAGGGATACCTTGCCATTTCCCTCTTCTGTGTAAACAATTTTGGCTATTTGGTCTTTCTTGCCCTTTATTTGTTGTGAATTGGTTTTAGCTGTTAAATCCTGAACAGAAACAAAATATTATATTAAGACATACTTCTTGTTTAAAATTTAATACACAGAAATAACAACATGGGGCAATACTACCTGATCCAGATAAACAAACATACACTTATCCAAATAACAAAAAAAATCTGTCTATTTTCTCTTTAAACTTTACTTGCTTACGTTGTCTGTATTGATTTAACAGATTTTTGTTACCTGTATTTCTTTAAGATTCAAAATACTTAAAATTTACAGAAAAATTTGCTGAAAAATACATAAAAACATGTATTGTACACAATTTAAATGAAAAAATTCTCTTATGACATGTTGAAAGTTGTCCAAATATACAACACAATACATACTAGCAAAACATTTTTCTTGTGACTTTAAATCAGACTTTGCTATGTAAACAAATTCCTGAAATCTCTCACAGATATTTATAGAATTAAAAACATGTCATCTTCTGATAAACACCCACTTAAAGTAATGGTCTTACCTGAACAAGTTGGTTAATGTCAAGACGGAAATTAAAATCTCCAAATATGAACATAGGAACTTTATCATACTGGTCTTGTTCAAATCTGTGTATAAAAGCAGTCAAATTTCACAATCTGCTCAGTGTATCAAGTCATGCATTTACAAACTTATACCCTTATTTTTTCTCTTTCCGAAGCTCACACACTTTGATTATAGCTTTTAATTAATGTTATACTGAAGCTATAGCTTTAAATGTTATACTGAGGCCAGATAATACTGTTAACTGGAAAGCATTAACAAGGAAATATCTTCTATTTGTATTTTAACTGTATGTTGAAGGAGATGTGTATTTTTTATACCACTTACCAAAATGTATCAGCTGGTGAAGTTTGATAGAGATATCTTAATTATTCTTGTTTCTTAAAATTATGATAATCAAATACAAATTTGAGAAAAAATTGAGAAAATCATAGTAAAGGTCAAAGGAAATTAAGGTAAAAAAATGTAAATGATTTTAAATAGCTCTTATCAATATATACAACCTTATAATATTTGATAAAAATTACACATTTTGAATAGTTTCTTTTTGTCCTCAATTTCTTTGTGTTTTGTTTAAAGGAAATGATCATTTAATTTTTCCCAGTTTTTTGGAAGATGACAGTTTTCTACTCTTGCAATTTTCTATGCCTGCTGCTTTCAGAAATTTTCTTTCAATGAATAAATGTAATTATTGTGGGAAAATGTACAAGGTCTCTAAAGAAATTTAATAAGAGAAAAATAAGGATAATGAATGGTAAATTTAGTTTTGTGGTCCTGATATCAATTATTATGATGCATAATAGAATCTTTTATGTAAAAATATGGGTTAATATCACTGCAGACTTGAAAGTTATAAAATGATAATCATTTGTCCCTATTTGAGTTGATTATAAATACTGACCTTTGAAGTGTGTGTAGGAATGCTGCCTTTCTATTGTCACTGTACACCGAGGGACTCTACAAGAAATAGTACAGTTAGTTCATTTATTCAGTTATTAGTCAATTTAGTTAATGAATTCATACAAGAGGCCCACGGGCCTTATAGGTCACCTGAGTATCATATAACAACTTTCCAGCGATTGTTTTTGGTTCGTGTTTTAATCCAAAAGCCATGAAATTCACAAATTTTGAAAGAGGCACCATTGCTTATCAAAGGGCAGATTTCAAAGCATTAATTTATTTTTAGTCAAAGTACCCCCCTGGTACCCCTGACCCAGCAGTCCTGAAATTATCTATTTTGAAAGAGGCCCCTTTCTTCATTATAAGGCCAGCATTTTTTTTAAATGTTTAGGTTTAGTTCTGAACATGAGAATAAAAAAGTCCCAAAGGAGAAGGAAATAAAATTTTTTTTTGATAAATCAATTATTAACATTTGTACATTCTTTTTTTATGCTATCCTTATAGGCTCCTTACCACTGGACACATAATGCTTACAAATAGGAAAGTAGAACATTTAATTGCTTATTTCATCATCTGTCAGTTTGGGCCAGTTATATAAATTTTGTGATGTTGATCAAAATATATTTTAAAAAATCAATTCTTTAGAAGTCTTTCAATATATCTTCATTTTTTAAATATGTGTTAGGTGAATGTGTAGACATTGTTCTAAAATTTACTTGATCTCTAAAATTATAATTCCTATCATAAAACAGACAGGGAGTATTGGGGAGTAGGGTGAACATTTTTTCAATTAAGTGTAAAATAATTTTTCTGGCTGATACAAATGATACTACATGCCTGTATATATTTGTATATTCTTGCCTTTTAATAGTTGAATTTTTTTTTTTTTATTTCTTCAGGTTATTGTTTATTTCTTCCTCAAATGGACTTAACTTCTCTCATAGTTTTATTCATTATATTCATTACATCTGATGCATAAGCAACCCTTTTCTGAAGAATGATGCTCAGACTGTAAGCTATAACAGAGACCTAAACAATGTCGCTGGCAATATGCAATAGCTACCACGGGCAGTTTAAAACCTGGGGGAGGAAAATAATTTACAGACAGTTACTTTTGAAACGAATACATAATTATCTCACCAGCATGATATTGTGCAACAAAGTCGTCAGCATTTTATTTGTCCTTTGAACGGGTGAAATGCTTTGAATGGCACTCTTATCGATGAATTTTGCTATCTTCTCAGCTTTATTTACCCGCCGTTTCATCGTAAAACTGGAAGTGCAAGTTCGTAAATTTGAAATCTCGATCCCGACTCAAATTTGACATCGGAAAGAAATTTTTTAATATTTTTTTCTGAAAATTCAAAACCTTGAGCGGAGGGTTTGTAAAACTGAAAATAAAATAAATCCTGGCCTTAAATATGTAATTAGATCATTAGCATATTAACCAGGAGCAAAGGATAAGATGTACAAAGAAATCATGCATTTCACTATATAATCATTAGAGCCCCACCCTAAAACAAGAACCCCTGACCCTGGGGCCATAAAATTCACAATTTTGGTAGAGGCACTCTTGCTCATCATAACTATGTACTTAGTTAGTTTATTTAATACCCAGGAGCAGAGAAGAAGATTTTCAAAGAATTCATATATTTTCACTATATAATCAATAGAGCCCCGCCCTAACACAAGAACCCCTGACTCTGGGGCCATAAAATTCACAATTTTGGTAGAGGCACTCTTGCTCATCATAACTATGTACTTAGTTGGTTTATTTAATACCCAGGAGCAGAGAAGAAGATTTTCAAAGAAATAATGCATTTTCCCTACCTACTTATTTAGCCCCGCCCTAGCACTAGAACCCCTAACCCCAGGGCCATGAATTTCAAAATTTTGGTAGAGGACTCATTGCTGGTTACAATCATGCAAACAGTTTGACTACTTGATGTCCAGGAGTAAAGAAGAAGATTTTTAAAGATTGCATTAATTTTAGTGGTTTTGGCCCCACCCCTCAGGCCCCAGGGGGGCAGGGATCATGAAATTCACAATTTTTGTTCCCCTTCACCAATAGATGCTTTGTGCCAAATTTGGTTGAAATTGGTTCAATGGTTGCAGAGAAGAAGCTGAAAATGTTCAAATGTTAACGGACAACGCACAACGCACGACGACGGACGAAAACAGATAGCAATAGGTCACCTGAGTTTACTCAGGTGACCTAAAAATACGTTCAGTATTTAAAATTTATGGTTCCGAAGTACTATTTTCTACCATTATTAATACAAAATGAGCATGTGAAGAGTTAACACAGGTTTACATGATACTCTACACAAGTCTATTAGAAACAAATATCTCTGTATAAGTCTCTCCAGTCCTCTGATATCTGACCTGGGACAAAGGCAATAATATGTTACAACTTTATTGCTACCCAAGCTAGTGTAGTATCCACTTAAGGATACCTTATAAAAAATTCTCTTGGGAAGGGGGGAGGGGGGTTATAAGGGGGGTCTGGAAGTTTTCTATTTTTTTTTTTTTGAAAACTTTTATATTCTAACCCCCTAGTGTCCGTCTTATATGTTCAAATTCTCTTATCAAATATGTTTGTTGATTTAGGACTAAGGCAGGTTTTTCCTAATGACAATCTTGCTAGCAGATATGATTTGCTTTTCGTTTTGAGCAATCTTTATATACTGATCCCTTCATACATGTATGTATATGCTGAAGTTCAATTTGTTGACATAAATTGGATAACTTTGCACCCACAGGCAAACACTTAAGAGGATAAAAATAGCTTCTGCATTTTTAATCCAATTTAAAGGACATGCATCTTGCATAACATCCTAAATGATTTACCTAAATTTTGTTCTTCAAACTATTGGAGACTGTTCATGCAAGACATAACACTTTCTCTCACTGTCTTTTATAAGCAAATGTCTAGCCAATTCAGTCAATCAAAGTTGAGTTTTACTCCATGTTTACTGTTTTTGAACTGCTATATAACCAGAGCTCTGTTCCTAATTATCCACATGATATTCTATGTTATCTCTGTCCTTCTCTCAGTGATCTAAAATCAATAGATATTCAGTATAATCCTGATGGACGCACAAATCATAATCTGTTCCCAGTCTCCAACCGATCGGTACCATGTCATTAGTCATCTTCACGCAAAGTGTAGAATATCAAACTTGGAGAGAATTAGTGCACATGAATCTGCTGGCTGGACTATCTACCACTTATCAGGTTTATAGCAGTACACATGCTACTGTCCTACCATTATAAATGTTCACAGAACAAATGATGGGAACTAAAGTGTTTTAATGACAGCTAGCTTTGTATTAAATGCCAAAAAAGTCTTAGGTCTTACATATTTTACATAATTATGCATGATGACAAGTTCATTTCTTCAAGCTCTATTAATATACATTTAGGAGAACAGCTATTAATCTTTTTAAAGCATTTAATATCACCAGAATTTCTATATTCAGGACAGAATCTGTTTCCTGTACTACTGCAACATAAAACTTGAAACTTGTTATCAACATGATCAATCAAGGAAACTTCAACAGCCATCAGTCTGATTTAAAGCGGGGTATCAGAGCCAATATTAAATAACATATAACAAGGCTTTCTTCAAAATAAAATAAAATAAAATTAATGTTAAAACCCAGTCCATTTAAATCTCCTTCAAATCTACCACTTCATCGCTAGAGTAGAGTTGAAATACTTTTAACTTTGAAAGCCAATGGAGAGAAAATTAAATTCAGTAATGTAGAACTTAGTGAATTTTCCATCAATCAATTAAAATGTGATAAAAAGAACATGTATGATCATGCATACTCACAAATCACATCAGGAGATTTCTGATTATGTGAGAAATTCTTATCAAAACATTTTCAGAGTCTTTTATAAAAATACTGAGACAGTGTATGCAAAATTTGAGGAAAAAAGTCCAGACCTCAGGATGCTTACCACAAAAACAAGAGGCCCATGGGCCACATCGCTCACCTGAGAAACTTTGACCATTTTGTTCTTTACCAGATTTCCCCTTTGTAATACATATTGCGACCCCACCCTACCCCACTGATCATAATTTAGACATTTTGAAATCTACACTACCCCAGAATGCTTCCATCTGCACATAAGCTTCAGCTTTTCTGGCCCAGTGGTTCTTGAGAAGAAGATTTTCAAAGATTTTTCCTATATATTTCTATGTAAAACTTTGATTCCCCATTATGGCCCCACCCTACCCCCGGGGGTCATGATTTGAACAATTTAGAATCTACACTACCTCAGGATGCTTCTACATAAGTTTCAGCTTTTCTGGCCCAGTGGATCTTGAGAAGAAGATTTTCAAAGATTTTTCCTATATATTTCTATGAAAAACTTGGATTCCACATTATGGCCCCGCCCTACCCCCGGGGGTCATGATTTGAACAATTTAGAATCTACACTACCCCAGGATGCTTCCACTTAAGTTTTAGCTTTTCTGGCCCAGTGGTTCTTGAGAAGAAGATTTTTTAATGACCCCACCCTATTTTTGTCTTTTCTTGATTATCTCTCCTTGTAAGGGGACTTGGCCCTTCATTTTAACAATTTAAATTTCCCTTTACGCAAGGATGCTTTGTGCCAAGTTTGGTCAAAATTGGCCCAGTGGTTCTTGAGAAGAAGTCCAAAATGTGAAAAGTTGACAGACGGACAGCTAGACAGACGGACAAAATTTGATCAGAAAAGCTCACTGGTGGCTCAAAAAAAGGTTTGCCATTAAAAATAGGGTCGGGTAAATAAACATATTTTTAATAACGCCTAATCATAATACATTATGAATTTAAGAGTTGATAAAATTTCAAGTGCTTGGACAGGTAACTCATTTTAAGCTTTAAGATTTCCTAGGGAAGATTTAACTTCAGGGAATTTGTCCTTGATATCATATTTGCATCTCAGATTCTCATGAATACAGGCATTTCTTGGAATATTTCAAAATTTCAAAAGCATGACATGATGTGAGAAAATTCCCCTCTGATTCAGGCTCTAAGTGACCACCATATACAAGAGGGAGTGCATTCCTAAACAGGTCTATTGCTGAAGGAATTTCAAAATACAAAAATAATAATCATGATTTAAATTTACATGTCTTTGTGAAATACTTACTCTTTGCATTGCCACTATGTTTGATGCATCATGGAAGAGATGAATGTTTACCAAGTCAAACAAACTGTAAAAAAAAAAATAATTATAACTTCACAACAACTTCTCCGGTCTTTGATTTTTTTTTATTTGAAAGTTTAAAGCTTTTTTATTCTTTGTAGTGCATCTGCTAACTTTGTGAATAAAAAAAATCCAATGATGCTCTTGGAAGTTGATTCAGTGTAATAGTGGTGAAAGCTAGAATAAACATTTTAAATAAATAACATTGGAAAGTGCATTTGGGTTCATTTCTGTCATCAGCACCCATTTAGAAGAAATGTAACCAGCTTATTTCTATCCTTCCTTTGATGATTATAGATCAAAATATGCAGCAGAACTTGCACTTTATAACATCGTTTCCAAGAGGGCACTTTATCTTTAATTAACAGCAGGGTATTCTACATTTCATATCTAAACAAATTCAATTTTTATTTAATTGGAAAATTATGTTCAGTAAATCAGTACATCAAAGTAATGGAAGATTTAATTGGGTGTTTATATTTTTCATTGCATATTTGTATAGTCAGGATTTTTTTGGTATTGAATAACATCATGCAAATAAATTACCAATTTTTAATATTCCATCTTGTCCGTATAAAACCTTTCCTTGACCATTTGAACTAGATAAAAAAAACACAAAAGAAAATATAAAGTTGACATGCTTAGGAAATCAATTATAAAGTTGAACATTAAAGAAGATTAAGATTTGATATAGAGAGCTAGCATCGCATCGTTAAATACATTTAAAGCATTCTATTATCTGATTTCTCTCTCAGAATAATATGATGATGAGCAGATTTTTCAAGTGTCTGTTCATCCATAACCTGCTTTATAAAATGTTTCAGTATAGGTGATTACCAACTCTCTGATAAAATCTACATCAAATTTAAACAGCATGCAAATATAACTCATAAATTTTTCTCTTGGAACAAGAACTACCATGGTTATACAGAAATTTACTGCCAAGTCTTCAATTCAAAATCAATAACTTCTTTGCTGCAACAGCAGTAATATAGAGATTACCTCAGGGAAAAAGTCTTGTGGGAATTTGGCCTTCTCTTTAATTTGAACATTCTCTATATTTCCAGACAAGACCTAAAACAGAAAATTGACTTTGTGTGTTCAACAAATCAAACCACTTAATTCATAATCACATACTGCGGCAACACCTTGAGAGTTCAGAATCATAAAAAAACTTATTACAGTTTTATATTTTTATAAATTTTAATTAAATGTTCTTTGTCTTTTATGCTTACAAAATACAAAGGTCAAAGTTCATCCAGACTGATATAAAGAATACAATAACAATTTAACCTCTGACATCAACTTATTGTCTCACATTATGCTGGATATGCATGACCTTGACATATGACAGGACTTTGTATACAGCTTTTCTCATATATGGAATAAAGTCACCTTCCTCTCAAATTATATCAGTTGACAAGGTTTGAAGATCGCAAATCTCCCACAGTGCATGCCATGATCATATTCATATCTATATACAGTCAAAATTCTAATGTAATATCAGATCTACCTTGATTATTATGGGTGAAGAAACACCCCTTCCAATAAGATACATCATCAATTGATAAGGGTCAGTGATTGCAGATCTCCTAATATTATCATGATTCATGATGTGATTTGACCAAGCATAACAATAAAATTCGAAGAGTTTGTTGGTTTTTTTTTAAGTTACAGAATTTCGAGTTAAATGACCTTGGCCAGTAAATGCTTGAGGAAATTGCCTGGAAGAGAAATTCAGATCATCTCCTAAAGCAATGTTTCATGCTATCCTGATTTTATTTGCTGGAGCTGTCAATGTATGTAAAGCTGCCATAAATTAAAGAACTGAACCTTCAGAAATTTGTGTTGAAATAATCAATCATTTTGTATATAAGTACTGCAATGCTACTTCAAATTACCTCCCTTCCTTCCACAGCAATGAACTTGCACTCTGTAAAAAAAAAAGGGAAATTAGCATCAAATGTATAAAAGACATTTTTTTGTTTCTCAAGACTCCATTATCACCATCAGTTGTCCCTTATGCACTGAGAATTCCCTTAGCTAATTAAATGAGTCATAAATTGAATAACTACATGTACTTAAAACATTGAGAGCTGATATTGATGTGTCAATCGTTTACAGCTTAAATATATAATATTAAAAAATATTAAAAAAGAATACGTTAAACAGTTGACATATAATTTAAAAATTCAAATGAGCGATACCCTATCTAAAATAGTCATGTGTAGTTTCAATTCAGAGAGCAAAAATTTGTGCCACAAGGATATTTTAAATTAAATATACAGCCCTAGAAAATGTCTAGATCAGCATAAATTAACATAAAAATCAGATAACAACTACATGATCTAGGCCAGAACTATTTATTTCACGACAACACCCCCGCATGTCATGTTTTAATAAAACCAGAATAGACTGTCTGTGTAACAAGTTGCCGTCAAAATTGAAGTGTCATCTCTGCAATGTTAATTAACCTTGTTGTAACACAAGAACTTTCTTAATGACACTTAACCATTTCAGCAGGCACAAAGAATAACGCCAGACAAATTACTGCCCTATTTCAGTCTTTTTCATCAATATTACTTCTAGTCCTCTAAGTTTGAAATTTAAACTTTTATTTTATCCCGAGTCAGGTAGGGCTTAGTACTAAACATTTTTTAAAGATGGCCTAATTATGTCTTTTCTGTTTTTAAAATATTTTTTTCTATGCATCAAATTTCTATGAATTACTTTGAACACCCATTGTGGCATCACCCAACCCTGAAGGATCATAATGTGAAGAAATTTGAATCTTCACTGCCTGAAGAATTTTCCACATAAATAGGAATAATCATGGCTTTCCTTTAATTGAGAAGAAAACCTTTTACATATTTTTTTCTTATGTGCACGATGTATAGTCCTATACCTGTAAATATTTGATCCCCCATTGAAGCCAAACTTGACCCCAACTTCCAAATAATTACGACAAATTATAATTATGCTGTACTTGAGAATATTCCTAAAGTTTTTTTCTATGTATCCCTATGTAAACATTTGTTTGCCCACCATTTCCCCACACTTTCTCAAGGGATCAGTGACACCACACAAATATTACTATTTCTCAAGTTTTCTCTACTTGAATTAGGGTTAGAATTGAAATAAAATTCCCTTAACCCAAGGATACGCTATGTCAAGTTTGGTTGAAATTAGACTAGTGGTTCTGGAGAAGATGATGAAAAAGTAAAAAAAAAAATCACAATGATAGACAACAGACAAACTTCACGAGCCCTTTAGCTCAGGTGAGCTAAAAACAGATAAATTGCCAATGATCTCCTCTGGTGACAGGTCTGTGATCACCAAAGCTTAAAATGTATAGTACACTGCATTCTGACCTCACTGTTCTCAGTCAAAGATTCCTACTAGACTTAATTGAACTTTCTATGAAAACTAGATGTAAAATTTGATACACAACTCACTGCAATTAATATTATTTGCAAATATTGAACTTGGCAACAGATTTTTTTTTATACACTGTTCTGAGAACACTGTTTATGCTATTGAAGCCAACAGAAAGGAATTTCTTCTTTCCTGGGTGATTGTTTGCGATGTAATCAATATAGTAGCAATCTTCTCTGCCCGTCTAAGTAGCAATATATCCTTCTCTCCAACTTACCCACAAAATCCCATATTGACACATCCTCAAGGCTTTCATGAATGAAGTACAGGTTTCCCAAAGCCTACAAAACAGTTTTTTTATGCTATATCTTAACTTTTATATCTTTATAAATGTCTATTCTTAGCTTAACATTCACCTTATTTCAATTTCTGGAATGCACATTTTAAAAAAATTTAATAAAAAATTGTTTACAATACAAAACATATTTAAATTTTCATGGCATTTTAATTTTCTGTTAAATATTGTTGACTTATTGTGGACTTACATTTTCAGTCAATCAAATTACTACAATTACAATGATTACCAAGGTTGGAAAAGATGTATTATAAACACAGACAGTCTAAGAATGCATGGATTGAAAGAAATGTCTTTCTATTTAGATTTTGAGGCTAATATATGGTTTTTAAAGATATTAATGCTAAGAATACATCAAATTAATACAATTATGTTAAATTACAACATATGGTTTCTACTCCTATGTCTGCCTTGCATGTGTTTGATCTATAATTATCATGATTATCTAGCTGTAAGATTTAGTTCAGAAAAAGGAAGGATGAAAAGGGAGATAGAAAGAAGGAAAACAAGATATTGATTAAACTGCATGAAGATTATTAGATAATTTTTTAAGTGTGAAAAATATTAGTTTGTCATCGAACTTATTTTTATAAATGAAAACCAAATCTTAATATTTACTATTGTGTAAAACCCTAAGTCTGTCTTGTATGTATTCTGTAACTTACATGTTGAAAACTATTGTAGTGTTTGACCTATATGAAGTCTGAGTGTCCTGAATGTATACCAGTAGCTACCATTCTGTAAAATTGTTTATGATTGTGTTAAATCTACATTAATTTTGTCCTGTTACTGTGTTGTGTTTGATTTATTTCATTTTCTGTAAACTTATCTGCTGCAGTATTATCCTAGGACTAACTAAAATCTATACAAAATCTGTCCTGTAATTGTGTGCTATTTGTCTTACTGTAAACTTTACTGTGGTATATTCCTAAGACTAAGTTTATGTGTATTACTGTAAACTTGACTGCTGCAGTATATTCCGAGGACTAAGTATATGTGTTTAATTGTAAACCTGGCTGCTACAGTATATTCATAGGACTAAGTATATGTATCTTATTGTAAACTTATTTGTGTCTTACTGTAAACTTGTCTGCTGCAGTATATTCCTAGGACTAAGTATATGTATCTTATTGAAAACTTGTGTGCAGCAATATATTTGTGTCTTACTGTAAACTTGTCTGCTGCAGTATAATCCTCATCTAGAAACACTCGAGCTCTGTCGTACTTCTGAAGTTCTTCACAACCTAACATGGCCCTAGAAAACATAATTACAGAAGTTAAGTACACCTTTAAATGTCAAAAAATTATTTTCCTCTGTTCAGGAGAGGGATGGCATGTGGCAACGCACTTTGAAAAAATTACGCACTTTGAAAAATTTTTTCAAAGTGCGTTAAAATTGGGACAATATCACTGCACTTTGAAAAAATTTTTGTCTAACTGTAACGCACTTTGAAAAAATTTTTCAAAGTGCTGATTCTACATCAATATATTTTACCATGGAGACACTTAACGCACTTTGAAAAAAAATCATATTTTAGTCATGGAAAGATTTTATTTGTGTCTTTCAAAAAATAAGCCTAACCCTAACCTCAAAAATGAATTGATTTAACTCCTGCTGCAGTCCAAATCTTTATCTTTCCAATACATAGGTGTCGGTAACAAACTGGGGAGGGGAGCAATAAACCTAAAAATGTGCATTTTCAATGCTTATACGATGTATATATCTTTCCAAAATAAACTTGTCTCCCCTGGCCCTTCGCCCAGTATATTCGATGTCTATGCTATACTCAAAGCATTCATATAATTATGTATTTACCTAACTGGTATGACGTTGAAAATTTTCAATAATAAATGAGTAAAACAGATGAAAACAAGAAATTTTTAAGTATATTATGAGAGAGAAAGAATTTTCATAGTTTTGAACAATCAAATTGGTCCCTTTTTATTATGATAAATGCTAAGTTGCTTGAAGCTGTCCTCTGTTATTGCCCCCTATACACCTTTACATCTGCTTATCAAAGACTAGAATTAAAAAAAAGAAGAAACGAATTAATGAACTTAAACAATCGTCAGTCTTTTTTTCAAGACCCTTTCATTTTCACTTTTATCTTATCAAAACCTTAAATATTTAAAACGTCAATATCTCAGGTCCTACTGTGACTTTATTATGAAAAAATTATAAAACCAGAATTTGTTTTTTATCATACCGATTATTTGAAGGAAAATTGATAATCTTTACATTTTTTTTCAAAGTGCGTTAATATGGTTTAAACTGTCAAAAAATTCAAAGTGCGTTAGCTTGGTCCCAAATTTTAACGCACTTTGAAAAATTTTTTCAAAGTGCGTAATTTTTCAAAGTGCGTTGTAACAATGGCATGATATATAACATAGTATAAAATGTTTGAATAGATAAATGATTGAATATCTCTAGATACCAAGCGTTATTTGGTCTAAAATGGAAGTACAGAAAAACAGACTTATAAAGAAGTGCCAGGGGCGGACAATTTTGCTTAATTGTTATAAGCGTAATGAATTACATGGATCCAATAAATTTATGTTACATTTAAAAGTCATTGGGAATAAATATCATTTACCTATAAGCAGCATATCATTATAAGTATTTTAGCTATAAGTGTGTTTTACTGTATGATACTTGGAGTCTGAGAAGTCTTGTAACAGGTAATACACATGTGAAATATGAAAGTCTATCCTAAGTTAAATATCTCATTCATAAGTTATGACCAAGGTTTAAGTTTTTGTGACAGACTATTTAACAGAAAGATGAGTGAGATTTAATGTCTTAATTATGACTTTCACCTAGTTGGTGAATCAACTAGTTTTACTATACTACAATAACCTAGGTTTTTGCAAGTAATTGATGCTTCTTTCTACTAACTGGATTAATAAAATGACTGTACCTACATATACAAAGGTAAATCTATATATTTATGTTACAGTAGTATTTAGCATAGCAGCCTCCTCACTTTAATAGCTAGGAGCTGACATTGACATTAAGTTATTATACTTTTATTAACAAAATCTAAACCAGTTCTGTTGTAACTTTATATAACTGTATAACTCTGTTACACATTTGTTATTCTTCTACATAATTCATATGTAAACTTTTACCAATTACACCTAAGTGTAGTAGATGAAGAATTCATGATATAGTATACTGTGTTGCAATTAGCATCATTACACAGATTTGTGTAATTAACTACAGATGTACGTCTAGTATTTTATATGTATATAGAGAACATAAATTGGGTAAATACATTGTGTATACTTTTCGATGTAAATGTTCACTGATACCATTCTGTCATTTTTTCTGCCTTCAAAGTGAAGAATTTATTAAGTATATAATATGGACTATTTTGGAGCCAGATGCAAAGTAGGTTATAATAGTGACCTGATTTCTACACCATATTTAGTTCTCCATTCTGCTAGTTCTGTATTTATTTTACCATTATTTGGTTTCATTATCAAGTTTTGAGTCAGATGAAAATTTCAACATACCGGTAAATGAATTTATATATGATCCATGTAGTTAAAACATATATATACCGTATAAGTGGAAATTTTAGCAAGACACAAATTTAGTGATTTGTCCTTAAAAACTGTTATTTTATTTTTAGCGAGATGTAATTTTGGCGATTTACAAATGCTCACTTAAGAAGCTATAACAAATAAAACGCAATTGATTTTTAGCGATATTCAATTTTAGCGATCTTAGCACTCTCGCTAATAATGCCTAAATTAAATCCTCGCTAAAAATTCTGTTTATACGGTATTACTTGAGAACTGAATGATATATAACATGACTATTGTATTACAATTTAGATACACAAAATGAGTGGTTTACCTGAAGTTAAACAGATGTGCATTAAGACATTTCTTGTGGTGTAAAATACATGAAACCTCATATACACATCAAATGAATACTATCTATGAATACATAATCATCATGAACAGAAAATCTGCTGTGCCAATGTCACTTAACTCACAAAAAGTAACTTTTTAAAAAAAATGAACACAGTGAAACAGTTGATAAGTGATTTTAAAAAGCTTTTAAAAGAGGGCAGTACTGCATCTGCTACTAGAATTCCTTAAGACAGACAGCAGTAACAGTTAGTGTTGTGTGTCTGGAGGAGTTCCAAACTCTTCACTCTCATTACAGATATATGGAGGATTTCTCTAATCCATCTGCGCTAAGATACCAAGATTTCTCTAATCCATCACGAATTGTCTATTTTCAGATTTTCCAGACAGGCATTTATAAATTTTACAAATCTGGCACATAATTTGACATAAAACAGGTATACTTATATACATTCTAAAACTTAATGCCTCGCCAAGGGTGACATGTATTAGTAACACAACACGAAAATTTGTGTAACAATTTTTTATTCCCAAATTGTTTCATTTAATTATCAACTTCTTAAATAAATATCTGCAGTTTTTTGGTTTTTTTTTTTTGTTTTTTAAATTCGCCTACCTATCTACCAAATTACTTTATCCTGAGAGAGCGAGCAAACATTTTTTTGAAACATTTTAATTTCGATATTGATATGGGAAATTTAAAGTAAATATGACTTTTCTAGAGTGGATCACTATCTTTCTTGGTTTGAGGGAGAAGTGACAATATGTGTAGCTGATGTGTGAAATATATATATGATATTTTCTGAGACAGACAATGTCTGATTGAGATCAGTCTATTTCCCAGGACCCAGGACTATTTCTGACATTTTAGACTAAAATGTTAATCTGTGTGGCAAATCACTGAGCCATTCATCCATAATGCTTCACACATTTGGTAAATTAGTTCAAATTTTACATGTTTTATACAACTTATCCTTGTATATATACTGGGTAATTTCCACAGGCATATACACTATCTAACCTTTATATCTATATATTTAATGTTTATTAAATACATGCAGTCAAACATTCCCTGGTGAAGCAGAACAAGTTTACAATGACAGTCATACATAATCTGTATATCAGACTGGCAATTTCAGGTCTATTTTTCTGAAACACATGTGTGTGTCAGTAGGCATCAACATGTAGGTACGGGTGATTAGATAAGACTGCATAACAACAGTTTCGTATGTATATACAGCCAATTCAGCCCACTATTACATGCTGTTACAGAGACAGGTAATACAGGTATATGTCATAACAATGTGTACAAAGTAAGGTCAATCACACCGATAGCATCAGGTAGTATACTAGGACATATTGTACATTGACTAGAATTATGTGTCTGCTAAATCGAGAATCAATTGTTCTCCAAAGCATTAGACCTGCACAATATAAGAACATGTAAACATGCATCAATCATCGCAGAATTGATGAAATTTATAATCTTGTTGCCTGCTTTACATGGCAAATGCAGATCTGCATGCACTCACTTGAATTTCTGACAATTGTTAGTACAGGTAACCACATTGCATCTCAACAATGCAGGTAGCATCTCAACAAAGCAGGTATAGAATTTACTGGGCAGGTATTTTTTAACAGTTATTCATCAGCAAACATTTAGCTGCAGAATATTGGCTTTGTCTATTTGGACTTTAAGATGAAATAAGGAGATAACAAATAAAACTCAAGCTCAAAAGTCCATTCAGAAAATACTGAATACAAATCAGAATTAGAACAAACATAAAGCTTTTAAACATCAGAGGTGAGATCAGCTGCCACAGAGGAGGAGTGAGCATCCCCTGCTGACTGGTTACAGCACTGGGTATTCTTGTAATGATCATGAAAATCAGAAAATCTGTAGACAATTCATTGTGTAAATAATGGCCTCACTTATAATTTAAATATACATGTCAAACAGCATTTTATTATAATGATAAATTTGCTGACAGGATGATATAACTTGCAAAAGTTGATTTTAAAAAGAACTGTCAATATTCTTGTTTCATCAGTTTGTTTGTCCAGATCTACCATCATTTTCAGATTCAATTAAAAAGGGTTTTTTCAAAGCCCTTGCCCCACGACACAAATGGAAAAAGCATTCTGAGAGTATCAGTGTTTTCCCTAAGAACCAGCTACTGGCCAAATTGACCACTTCAAATGACAAAAATGCCACTTTGAAATAAAATTGTTGTAAGAGATAGACAGACGAACAGACATAGAGGGAGATAGACAGACAGAAGTGACAGACTGACAGAGGGAGATGGAAAGACAGACAGACTAATAGAGGGAGATGGATATACATACTAACAGACATAGAAGGAGATGTACAGCTAGACAGACAGAAGGAGATGTACAACTAGACTGACTGACAAAGAAAGATGGAAAAACAAATAGAGAGATGAAGGGAGATGGATAGAAATCTAACAGGCAGACAGACAGACAGAGGGAGATGGATAGAAATACTTACAGCTAGACAGACAGCTAGACAGACAGAGGGAAATAAATAGACAGACAGACAGACAGAGGGAGATGGCAGGCTAGACAGTTGGAAACATATGGAGGAAACTGAATAGTCCCCTCCACTTTCACCACAAGAGATCACACTGAAAATTTGACATGTTTTAAGTTTAAGTAGTTAGAAAACTTCAATGAATGGGCAAAGTATGAATGAATGAAATTTACATTTTATTCTTACCTCTTTAATTACTGTCACTTAATACAATGTCTAAAAATATTGTACAAACTTAGTAAGAAACTTTCATGTTACTATTGACAACTAAAATCTAGGTCAATAATAAAATCCGGGATAAGGCTTTACGTGGCCTATAATGCTATAATTGTTATCTGTAACCCTGCTTTGATAATTATTGAAGTAATTTGTTCTTTTCAAACAAAAATTGTGCTGTTTTAAGCAAAACCTTATGTCATCAGCAGCATGGTTTATTCTAAATGTTCCACACATGTGAGATGCAGAAGCTCTGAGGGAATAAGATGTCTGAGCCAACACCTTTAAGTCCTTATGATGCCTTCTGAAGCTGCTATTATGGGATGTTTGCATGAATACAGTACTTCATCTAGCAGCTTACTAAATCAATATCTATGTAATGCATATTCAAAATTTACATGTTATACACATGGATTACAAAATTGTTAATAAGAATCACCCTGGTCATGTGGTATTACATAATGTATGACAAGGATGCCTCTAATTAACAATTTTGTAAGTCCTTACTTACTATTAAAGCTACCAACTAGAGTCATACCAAAGTCAGAAAGGTACATGTTCAGGATACCTGAACACAGTTATACACTTATAATACACCTGACTCTTGAATAACTCAGTGGTTAGAGTATCATTTAGCTTGATATGGAGTACATACATGATACACAAGAGGCCCTAGTTTTGAATCCTTGATGAGACTTGATTTTTAACCTGTTACATTTCGCACTCAACCTACAAAACTCACTTTTCCCTTGGAACATGCTTTACAGCATTTCTAAAATTCCTAACATTCACCAGTTTAGGTATTGTTTCTACAAAGATGGGGATATATTTATTACTGTGTTAACATGTGTGAATATCAGTCAGTATATATCTGGACTCTAGCTCAGTAGTTAAGAGTGCTGGCATGGTATAAGGGCCCTGGGTTCAAGTCCTGTTTGAGACTTCATTATTCACTACCTGATAGACAGGTATCTTTTATATATCTAATTTACAGAATAATACTAGATCCACCACCAGTGCTACACACTTACTTGACAAACTGGTTGACATGCTGCATTGAGGCCTCATAGTTCTTTCCTCCCACCTCCTGACAGTGCAGGGCCACAAATTCTGGTTCATAATGAGCAACACACTGAAACACAGGAAGCACTACCTAAATAGTATACTCTCATGGAATCTGACTTTAATTTTATGTTAAAGATAAAGGCATTTTTGACAGAAACCTGTTGTACAAACCAAATGACAATATTGTGTGACCCTCTTGCTTCATTATCTTTTATGTAAATTAAGATACTCAAACTGAATCAATGAAAATTATTCACATATATCCATGGAACATATCAAGGTATACTTACTTTTAAGAACTCCCTTAGCCACAATTTCAACATATGCTCTGGCTGAAATTGAAATAAAACAGAAATTTATTATCTAGATGAAAAAAAAAAATCTTCAGAATCTTGATATAATAGATGATTAACACAACAGTTAAACTTCCAAATTAAAAATTGAATATTTTTTCATTAATAACACATAACAGGGACCTATATACTAATGGGAGAGGCAACTTCTTCATCGCCATATTTACCTATACCCAAAACATCACGCACAACACAACAAGTTTTTTCAAATTACGTTTATTCCCAGTGAAAGGCCTGTTTTCTGATTTATGTCATTTAATCCTTTTCTGTATTGGAATGTATTTAAAATAAATTTGTAAGCATATAGTATAAAATAATTTAAATATAAAGAAAACAAACACTGAAATCGGCAATTTATAGGAAATACAGCCTATCAGGGGCATGTGCTGATTTAAAAATAAACATAATTACTACTAAGATAAGGAGTATAATCAGTGCTCAAAGCAAATCTTGAAAAATATTTTGATGGATCGATTGTTTCAACTCTATTGAAAATACTGCAGTACATATGGCAATACATTTTGTTGAAAATTCCTTGACCTTCCATTTTTTCCATATACATAAGTCATTAATTAGAACACTACCACTTGGTGGAGCATCGGATGGTGGGCTGAAAATTTAAAAACTTTACTCAAAACTAATGACCATGATTGAGCAGCCAGTGAGTGATCTTTTTCCTGACAGCACCTACTGCAATGTGGATTATATACAGTGGGATTCAAACCTGCGACATAAGGATAAATTATAACTCCGCAACACCAGAGCAATTTAAGCTCTTATTACCACATAAACCAGGCAGGTGAGTGAGGAGACATTAAAAGTTAAAAGTAATTAAAAGTTTTAATTTACTACCAGTATCAAAAGGATCAATTTAGCACTGGCCATTGACAAATGTGTGATAATAATTGAAATCAACCTACTAATTAAGTCCATGCAAAGGCCAAAATGGCTATAAAAATGTCAGAATGTGAAAAACAAGAATTGTTTTTGTGACATCTTGAGAACAATATTTGTTTACTAAGGTGAATACAAGTTTTAAGTGCACTGAATCACAGAGGAAGGTATAGATAAATTTCCTGATGAAATGTAACAAATGGAGTTTAATTAATCATAAAACATGCTTAAAATTTCATGAAAATTGGAGAATGAGCAATTTACAATAACCCTTACTTTTAACACATATCATTCTCGCACACATTAAACGTGTCATGGTGTGAAGTAGCTAGAAGCGTGTGAAAGTATTTCAATTTCACACTGATTTCACTGATCTGTGACTATCAACCCCTGTCCAATACAAATATGCTGAGTATTAGCAACCGAAGTGTTATAGTTAACAGTATATGACATACGTGTAAACAATTCATAAAAGTACCCATTTTTATAGGGTAAAGATACTCAGAATTATTGTTTATATAGAGTGCATGAACGTAAAAGTACGTACGTCCTCAAAAATAGACCCGACATTTGCGCTAACCAGTAGCACCCTCGTGTAACTTCCATCCATTTTAAGCATTAGAATTCATCCACTAAATTTAAAGATTTGCATCGCAAAAATTTCACTTTGATAACTTTCACTACATATCCATGTTTTCATGATCTATCCCATATTTTCATTTAATCCATTCGCTCCGCCTTTGCATGCCAGCAAATATTTGACGTCATTTCCGGTAGAGTTCGCGCCATCTGTCAGGAAAGCCAACTCTTCATCCAAGGTAAGTAATGCATACAGGAAACATACAAGTGTATACGATTTTTAAAAAGTAGTCGATAGTTTCAGAATTGTTATTTTTCAACAGATTTTTTTTTCACAGTGTTCAGCTTAGAATAACCTAGGCTATTGAACATTCAGGTTTTTTTTTTATTTGTTTCGAGTGTAATTTCTTTTTACCCTTTGTATATAATATCGTAAGGTATCAAACAATGCTGAATATTTTACTTCCGAAAGGGAATCACGTCAAATTTATTGTTTACAGGCGCTGGTGGCATTTGAACAGACTTAATTATTGTTCAGTAAAATGCAGGAGGGGCACCTGCACATGATTGTATTTACTTGTACATGTAACTGGTAGTGTTTACACAGGATATGTTAAAGAAATTATCCGGCTTTGAGTGACGTTTATATGGGTATACTTTTCACAATTAAGTCACAGAGAACTACACTTGTATATCAGCTATCTTCATTAGATACACTAGATCATCTTGTGTCTGTGAATTTGTTTTATTGAAAATTATTAGTAGTTTAAGGATATCTACAAAATGTAGCATACTGAAAATAATCTGTTCTTACATGTACAAAAAATTTTAAGATTGAAAAGTCGGTGGATTGACTTATTTGCATAAAATTTTCAGAGAAAGAAGAACTAGTCTTGACTCATGTGAAACCTTTTAAAATAATTACTTTTTCATCAAATATTGATAATTAAACAAATTGACTCTGTCAGTGTGAATAAAAATGTTACGTATACATTTTAATTAATCAGTTAACTTGTACATGGACATAAGTCTTGATCAATAGCAAGGTGCTTGAAAAAAATAATGTATATATATAAAACCCAGTTAAACTGTTGGAAAACCAATCGGCTCTTATTAGGCTCCTTTATTAGCTGAACTGTCTGATTTTTCTATGAAGCAAAATTTATTCAAAACTTCTATAAGAGAGGAAGAAAACGCTGTGACCTTCAACACGACATTTATATAAATCGACTATCTATCAGCAATGAACAATTGATCTGTTTCATTTATAGATGTTTAAGTAACTATAGACAATAAGGACCAACTAGCAAGTAAACTATATGTATGGCACGCCAAATTCACAAAAATGAGATAATCATAGTTTCACAATTGACTGTAAACTATAGTTTACAAACCGTAAACTATAGTTAACGATTCGTTAAGTATAGTTTTCATCTGTAAAACTATATTTAACGATTGTTAACTATAGTTTACGAATGTTAATTTAAGTTTATCTATTATTAATTTATAGTTTGCAATCGTAAACTATAGTTAAGAGTTGTTAATCATAGTTTCACAAATTGTGAAACTATAATTATCAGATCGTTAACTATAGTTAACGGTTTGTAAACTATAGTTTACAAATCGTGAAACTGTATTTATCAGATAATCTATGTTTTGCAATCGCAAATAATTGTTTTCGGTGTTAAGTATAGTTTACGGTTGTGAAACATAGATTGTCGCGTTAACTATGGTTTACGGATGTGAAATATAGATTAACTTTGTAAACTATAGTTTACAGTTCGTAAACTATAGTTTACAACCGATAAACCTAGTTTATCGATTGTGAAACTATCATTATCTCATTTTTGTGAATTTGGCGTGCCATATATATGATAAATGAAATTACGTCAGCATAATTTTTCATCGTCAAATTTCCTTACGTATGTAGTGATATCCCGCTAGCGTCTGCATATGGTGTTAACATATCCTAGCGCATTCGAAACTCAAATGCATTCTCCGAGAACAATCAATTTTTAAACCGAGACAGGCTACTGACATAATTCGATGTTACTGGGATTTTCACAACCTCGTATAAAGTCAGCATATTTTGTTTAATTCTATGGTCGTTATAATAGGCTTAGAAGAAAATATAACCTATCGCTGGGTCGTATATATTTACTAGCTTGTTTCATATCAATTGTTAGACTTCTGATTATAAAGGAATGTTTCCTTTACCTAAGCAATGTATAGGGCTCAGGGCGGGTGTGTCAATCAATAGGGATGTTTTCTCCTCCTAGGCACCTAATCCAATCTCTGGGATTTCCAGGGATCTGCTTTTTATGTCCTCTTGGCAGATTTGTATTGTTTATAGATCAAGTTTATTGAAATCAATCACTTTTCGCTATTATATCGATTGTCGACGGTATTTTATCTATCACATTCGTATGGAATTATTATCTATCAACATATTCGATACAAAAAAAGCATTCTGCAAGGAAGATCATTTTCAAGCTACTGACAGATATTTTACAAGGGTTTCAACAAACTCACTTAAGTGTTTCCGATCGTAAATTATAAAGTCATTTTTGTATTTTAAACATATAATTTTATACAAAAAAAGTAAATGGAAATAGGCAGCATGCAAAGCGTCTCTTAGCCCTCTCCCCAATCTGAAGTCGTTATAATGACGTTGTACATGCACACAATCAGTTTTATAACAGAGGATTTCAACAAGCTCGTTTAAAGTCCGCATTTCGTAAATTCAGTGTTGGTTGTAATGACCTTGTTAGCAAAAATAATATAATCCATCAATGGGTGCTTTGTTTCATATGTTTCATACAATTCATGCGCTTTTGTTCTATACTTAATTTGATTACGATATATTTCAGTATATTCATAGTGTTTATGGCGGGTGTGACCATTCCTTTTCTTTGTTATTGACTTTGAAGGAGAGAGTGGAGATGAGAATTGCAAAAAACATTCCCGTCCCCCTTTCATCATCCCCAATATACATGAACCAGGCATCCGTCGCCAGTCCATCCCGAAACCCGTGATAATAAAGCAAGCAGGTGTAACGAATGTGAAGGGTATACCCCGGTGCTGATTTCGAAGATTTGTTCAAAATCTTGAACGCGAAAAGAAAAAAAATGTTGCGGTCTTAATCAACTCGACATTTAGATATATCGACGACGTATTGTCAATTATCAATGGTTATTTCCATTCTTATGTCGATACGATATATCATTATATCCATGATAAAAGATACCACAGAGTCTGACACATCTGTTGCATATTTGGATATTTTACTAGAAAAGGTGTTTTAAAAGTAATTTTGATAAATTGATGACTTTAACTTGTAATTTAACAACCGAGCTTTATGATAAACGTGATGCCTTTAACTTATCAATCAACTTTCTTTACCTATTTAGAAATATACCTTCATCACCTGCAAAAGGGGATTATATCACTTGCATAAAGGATTTATATCTCTCAGTACCTCTAGGCAGTAGTTGACAAACAAGTTGATGAAACAAGAATATCAGCAGTCTCATTTAAAGTCACTATTTTGTAAGTTCCCTTTATATATTCAGTAACATTGTCAGCAAAAACAATCTATCATTAAGTCAAATGCTGACCGACGTTTTTCATACTAATTGTTAAGGTCAGACGACACGTTCCTCAATAATATATTTTTTTCCCAAGAATTTGTCCTTGAAGTCTAGGTACTTAAGCAAGTTTCCTCACAAAAAATAAGGGTACCTTACCAGGCATTTGGACAAGATACCACAGGTTGGTATTTCTTATATAACCCTTATGGGTAATCTTCCGAATGGCCTATCTCACAATTTTTGGTGAATTTATATTTAAACACATATTGAAAATAATGCAGAAATTACAAGAGAATAACAACTATACATATTTTTTCATATAATACTAAGAAATACAAAACAAATATGTGGAACTTGTCGTCTTACCATTATTTACACACTGAATTTCGATGGATTTATCTGTAATTTCCCGATCATGAAAAGGAGCACACGGCGGGTGTGACCAGTCGGCAGGGGATGCTCACTCCTCAATGGCACCTGGTCCCACCTCTGATGTTTTAGGGGTCCCAATCTAAAATTAGATGTTAGATCCGCTCACACTCCAGTGTAGCGAGTGTGCGAGCGGATCTAACATCCTATTTTAAGGTCAAGATCTAGTAAATGACTTTAGAATAACTTTTCAGTGCTAAATCCATTATGACGTCATAATCACTTTCAACTTTCTTTTTCCCGTACTTTACGCTCTAATAGAATTATGTAGAAAATAAAGTATTTTCATGGAATTCAATTTGAAATCACATGAAAAGTAGTCCCGATACCTATCTTAAATTTAACATTATTTTAAAGTGGAGACTAAGAACATACACATAACCCTTTTCTGAAAAACTGTAGGCAATCTGGATACATTTTCTTTGTCTGATATGGAAAAAACTCCCATTTTCAATACTGGTTTTCTTAATTTTTCATTGAAAATGACAGTATAAAATATGATTTTTCATCTTGTTTTTTCTACAAATTATGCCCCGAAACACCTATTTTGACCAAGCTATTGTTATAAAGCATCATTAAAGGAATTAATTTCTTAAATCTGAAAAATCTGTAGGCACCTTCCATTTACTAGATCTTGACCTTAATTAGATTGTAGGGGTCCGTGTTTACTCTGAATGAGTGAATGAATGAATGAACGAGTCAAGTTCAGCTTTAATGAATAATCAATTAATATAAACACCCTTTTTTGATAATTCAGTTTGTTTGATTTCTGAGATATGCCAAAAAATTTTACCATGGAACTAAAATGCAAAGATAATGGGAAATAATGCAAAGATAATGGGAATATGAAACTACAATTGCTAAATTCATACAAAATTGGAATATTTCAAATATACACACAATTCTTTCCTAAAAACAAACAGACACACAAACAAGTAAAACCGAAAGTGAATTGATAATAGATTAAACAAGCGCTGCTTTTAGCTATACATGTACTATGAAATAAGAAAACAATAATATACAAAAAGTGATTTGATTCCCCTGTTTGAATTGTAGACAAGACACTTTTTCAACGCGACATTGATTTGTCCATTCTTTGTTTTTACTGACTTGGAATCGCTTTAAAAACTTCAAAGATTCTAGATGGGATCTTGTAATAATAGTTTATACATCATAACCAATTTTTAACGTTGTCTAATTCTTTCCCAGAGTCCTTTGATTTGGATGACCAGGGTGGGGAAGTCTAATATAACAATAGACCCCAGTACGACGACGATGAAGACGATACCGACATAACCAGCGACAGAGGCGGATGTACGACTGTCGGGGGCGCTGATCTTTTTCATTTTCGTCGACGTTAATTCCGAAGTGTTGACCTGTAGCTCTTTCTTCATTTCGTTGATTTTGGAAACAAGAATTTCTTCTTCGATCTCAGGCTGAGTACCAGTACTTTCCCAGAATGCAATTCGGTCCATAAACTCGCAATCACATGGACACATCTGCTCCTCTGTAGCTAAAATTAGAAATTCTCTGTTAATGGATGCACTTCATGCACTTTTTTTAAAGTTTGAAAACTATATAAGTAGTCATAAGACGATGAAATATATGGTGGTAACGAACAGTATTCAAGCTCAAAAGTCCGTAAAACAATAAAGAATAGGAACAGAACAACACAGACCCCCACACCATCAGAGGTGGGATCAGATGCCTGGAGGAGTGAGCAAATATATATATTGTCTGTACTGTTACCAGATTTGGTTGAATCCGTTGATACTGGAGTTGATTCGATGGAATCGGTCGATACATGCGTTGATTGGATGGAATCCGTTGATACATGTACATGCGTTGATTGGATGGAATCCGTTGATACATGTACATGTGTTGATTGGATGGAATCCGTTGATACATGTACATGCATTGATTGGATGGAATCAGTTGAATGGATTTCTAATGACCTGGAATCTGTCAGACTTGGAGAAAGTGGGGTACTACCTGAAAGTGATTTCACCCATGAGGAAAAAGAGACTGTAAACTCATGTTGTTTCGATGTGTCAAATTTTATTGGATTGAAGAAAGAATAGTGTTCGTGGGGATTTAATTTTGATGATGAATTGTTGAGTAGTAATATCTGTGAAAAAATTAAATTTCATGGAGGACATAGATTCCCAGGTTTTGTCATACCTCGGAAATCACGAAAATTAAAGCCCCAGGATTTGTGATTTCATATAGTGCTTTACTTGAAGTTTTTGTAAAACTTTTATTGTCAGGGGTTTAAAGCCATTATCTATATACTAGCTTAATCGTGGAAGACAAGAAAACTAACAATATCCATTTAAAATTCGCGGAAACGTATCCAGATAAAGCAAAAAAGCAGACAGGTTGCGAAGATAAAATCGTGGTAAATCTGTATAGAAAAACAATAAAATATAAAGTTAGAAATATCTCTTTTATTGATTTTAAGGTTCTTTCCAGGAAAAAAGGCTTCATATAGTTCGTAAGACTGAACTAACGACAGAACATAAAAAGCTGTATACCATACACGACTTGCCTGGAGATAGAAATTGAACAAGAAAGTCTGTATACAAAAGATTGAAGAATGCCATGGCTTAAGTGGGAATCCCCCAAAAAGACTGGCTAAAAACTGAAAATTTCTCAAGAGAAGAATTACATTTCGCAAGTCTTTAAGGAAGGAAGGATCACTACACAGCTAACCTTCTTTGGGGAATACTCATTTAATATAGCCAGATTTCGGTAGAATTTCTGACTATGAGGGAGTATTATTACAGTAAACAAATCGGAATTCACAAGAATTCTTTTCTTAATTGTCTTCTGGCAAATTTAAAATAAACACAAGGAAACACAAAGGGCGAAAGATGTGCCCAAAGTCCTGCATTGGGTACAATTTTTTTATGCAGCTTTGCTATAAAATAATATACAATTATGAACTCTTACGGTGTTGAATATGGTTTGTTATTCATCAGAAAAATATCAACATTGACCGAGGCGAAGCCGATGAAAATGAATGCATTGTATTCCTTGTACTTTCTTATTTTCTATGGTACCAACAGCAACCCCCTCAAACAGACAAACAGGTGCATAAACTAATAATTAAAGCATTCATATAAAATTTATTCTCCGCAATTTGGTTCGAGAGTTAAGTAATCTAAAGAACAAGATGTACTAAAAACTTACTGCTAGCTGATAATGAGATCCTTTCACACATGACCTCTCTCTGGGATTCTTAAATGGCAAAAAACAAACGAGGTGTGAGTTTTGTGAGTTATAGACGGAATATACATCTAGTCAAAATTATAGATGTATTAAATTTGTAAATTCACCAATTTGCCTTTAGAAAGTATGCTGCCTGTTATTAAGTAAAGTTGTAATTAAATAATATACTGACGTTTAAAGATTATCTTAAAAGATATTGAAACAAATATTGAAAATACTGGCACATCCGTTTCTAGTATCTTCTTCTGTACAGTTACTACAAATGGTGGCAAACTTTTCATTGTTTGGTACGTTTTCCTCCTGCCACATCCCGCCGTGACAGATATCATACTTGTTACAATCGCATCGTCCCTTAATCTGCCCCACAGTACAGGCGTCTGTAACAGTCAAAATTAAATATATCAATAATAATAATCATATTTTCGGAATCTAGCAAAGCTTGATAATTTAAGTTCCCCCAGTTCTACACAAATTAGTTTTATGCCATTGATAGACTAACGGACATGCGTATTTTCTCATCAACTGTAAGATTTTAAGTAAAATAAACATCTCTCAGCTTCAAAGAAAGCACTGGAATCAAAATAGAAAAAAAAACATTGATTAGTCCTATATCTGGTATAAAAAAGAAATATCTAGAAACAAAAAAAATGCAGAAAAGAAAAATTGATCAATTTCATAAATAAAGTAAACAAAATGAATCTTGAGCAGGGCAAAGCACATGAACATTTAATTTATCATAGGGTTTTTAAGATTTTGGTAAAATCTTGTGATTTCAAATTTTCCAAAAAATCCACATCTGATTTACACCACTTCTTTAATATATATGTATATTACAACACAATACTCTTGAAGTTTCTCCTTCATTACTGTTAATATCCGAGTGAGGGGTAAAGAAAGAGGCTCGGTTGAACATTTACTGGAACCCATTATGTATTTTTTTAAAGGATTTTGATGAACAATTTCTAAGAAGAAGTATGTTATTGACAAATAAGTTGATGAAGCAAAAATATAAACTATCTCGTTTTAAGTCATAATTTGTAAGTTCTATGTTCGATACAATGATCTATTCAGCAATTTACCATTAACTTAATGATTACGTCAAATGCTTTTTTTTCATACTGATTGTAAGGTAATTGGAGGTCCGTGTTTGCTCCGCTCCTTTTTTTAAAATTATTTTCAATGGACTTTTGACCTCGAATACTCTTCGTTATCTCCATATATTTCATATTTGAAGACCTGTTTCCAAATACAACATATATTTTGTCCAGCATCTTTTTTTTCATATCAACTTAAGGTCTAAATTATGTTAGAAACCCGTGTCATTAATTTATTGTGAGGAATTTGAGATATGTAATATTAATGATCCTTAGTTTTAGATAGAAACTGTGAACATAGGCGTCGGAACAGGGAGGGGGGGGGGGCTTAGCCTCCCTTCCACTTTTGTTTTGCAAAGATAGACTTAGTGTAGGCATCGAACATTGCGGTGTAGGTTTGGCCTCCCTCCACTTTCCAAAGACGCCTTGCACTATAGGTATGAAACAGGGAAAGTGGTTGTGTTTGGATAAAAAAAATTGGTACTAAAAGAAGTTCAAAGCTATAAAATATTATACGTTAAAAGAAGACAACACTTGCTGTGGCCTTCAACTCGATATTTAGATATATCGACGACGCATTGTCAATTAATAATAGTCATTTCCATTTTTATGTCGATACGATATACCCGGTATCCACGAGAGCTTGAAATAAAAGACATCACAAAGTCTGACACGTCTGTTTCATATTTTGATATTTTACTTGAAAAAGACGTTAATGGTAATACAACAACCAAGCTCTATGATAAAAGTGATGACCTTAACGTTTCAATCGCCAGCTTCCCTGACTTATTCAGCAATATACACTTGTCACCTGCATACGGAGTTAATATATATCTCAGTTAATTCGATACGCAAGAGCATGCTTTATGTATGAACAATTTCTAAAGCGAGGTAAATTATTGACAAAAAAGTTGATGAAACAAGAATATCAGCATATCACCATAAAACTTACGAAATGATAACTTTAAACGAGACTTTTAAAGTCATCATTTCGTAAGTTCTATGCTCGATTGTATACAATGACCTTGTCAGCAAATACAATTTATCATTGAGTCAAATGCTGACTTGCTGACTGCAAGTTTTTCATACTCATTGTTAATCCATTATTTATACACTAAATTGACGACTAATTTTTCCATTTTTTCCGATCATGACAAGGAGCACACGGCGGGTGTGATTGATTGGCAGGGAATGCTCACTCCTCCTTGGCACCTGATCACACCTCTGATGTTTTGAAGGTCCGTGTTTGCTCTGCTCCTATTTTGTATTGTTTTATGGACTTTTGATCTTGAATACTGTTCGTTAATCTCCATATGTTTCATTAGATAAAAGTTGGTTTGGACAACCAGACAAGTACATATCTTTAAAGTGAAGTACCAGAGTTACAACCGAAAAGTACTCAGAATGTGACACGAAACTTAAAATTTTAAATTTATTTCCATATATAAAAAATCAGAAAAGGAAGTGAATAATATTGTATATTTTGCTATAGACGAGGAACTAAATTAAACTATTTAAAACAGATTATAGTTACCACTTTGTCCAAGAATATGTCGGAGCATCAAAATGACTAATATTAGAATTCTTTCATTCTTCAACATTCTTGGTGCCTTTAGAAATGAGGGCTACAATTGAAGTCATACAAATCTTCTTGAAATCAATTGTTAATGCACTTTTTAAACATGTTTTTTTTTACGTCAATGCCAAAGAAATGCAATTTTAGTTTAGTTTAGTTTAGTTTAGTTAATGTTTGAATGATGTAAAGAAAGCTGTGATAGACATTCCATGTTTCGTTTGGAGCTAAAAGTAACAAATGAACACAGTTTTGCATTTAGCAAAAGGTGAACTTCTTAGTGAAAAAAAGATGATTTAAATGAATAAGATAAGCAATACTTACTTGCGAGATAATTTAAACCATTTTGACCACACCAGCGAATGTTTTTAATGAACGCGGTGGAATATACTTTCAATATCATTATCGAGTATGAAAAAGCTATGTCGATATTTTGACATGCATCAATTAATTATATTGATGTTTAATTGATGTGTATTTCAATGGGAAGATAGGATTACCAGAACTCTTCATCTCTGTACAAGGGTTAATTACGTATTAAGCATATTATTCTTTGAAATAATTGGTAAACTCATTATATCTAATTAGCATTTTTAAAAGATACAATGTAATTTGAACATCAACTAAATATCTGGGGATATGAAAGCGGAGTAACGATAACAAATTATATAATTCACACTCGTGTAATTTTACACCGTAACGAATTTTATTACAGATTGTGATAAAGAGAACATGTCTTTGTGCAAAACATTATAATGAATTATTAAACCAGTTTAATCAGACCTGATAAATAATTCATTGAAAACCTTTTAAACTAACGATGGCATCAACTATACTTTAAAACAACAATTTCCTGTATTAAGAAAATAGATTTAAAACATACACCCCAAACAGATACATTTAGAAAGACTGTATGCAATTAAATTGACAAAGTTTTATGGAGTTTTTGAGAATCCGCCTTTGTTTTACACCACTTCAAGATTATACTTAAGCACAGTAGATCTATAGGTAGGTTTAATCTTTATTTGTAAGGAGTAGAGATGAGGACTACATGCAGCATTTGCTACACCCTCAATGTATCTTTGTTTTGAAGAATTTTTAGTTTAGGAATCTAGTTTTTGGTGTGTGATACATGTATGTATTTACTCTGGTTCTTTAAAAGTAGTTAACTTTGAAATGTCAATTTGAAATACATGTAATTCAGTCTAAGAATGAAATATATGGAAATAACGAACTGTATTCAAACTCAACAGTAAATAAACAATACAAATTTGGAGTGGTGCAATCACGGACCTCCAAAACATCAGAGGTGGGATCAGGTGTCATGGAGGAGTGAGTACAAGATGGATTTTCAATTATAAATTTTAATCCAAGTTCTTTTAAAATAAATGATTAGGCTTATAACAACAGTGCTGTTTAGAGGTCCGCGTATGATCCGCTCCTGATTTGCATTGTTTAAATAATGAACTTTTAAGCTTGAATACGAGTGTTCGTTATTTTCATGCATATATTTCATGTTGGAAGCATTTTCTGTTGAAATCATGTTTGAATACAGTTCTTGAGTATAGCCACGATTTATTGAAGAAGAAAATCTACATTTATTCTGTCTTTCAACCAATTCAACGCATTATTGTCGTTAATTGCTTCTAGCTGAGGAGTCACTAATTTGTCAATCATTTTATAGTAGTCCTTTAACCAAGAAAACTGTAAAGAAGATATAAAGCATAATGTTTAACAACTTTCAAAGATATCATGTGCTTTAAAAAACAATAATTATGATAATACTATTTATCACAAAGATAACTATCCATAGAACTGTTAGATGAAACATAATCGAGAGTTAATTGGTTTATAGCAGTATAATAATTATTAAATCAAAAAATGTCATGGATGTACATCTAGTTATGATTTTTAATTTAAAAAAAACAACAACAATGAACTGAACATTATATCAGAGATTTCCATTGAATGTTAGCTTGAAAACTAGACATGATATATAAATATTTGGTATCACCTAGCTGCTTGCTGAAAAGCATTACAGAATTAATTTTTTTTATTAAGCAAGTCACCCAAAATAAATGCATAGCCTCTAAATTTTAAGAAAAAAATAATAAATATATACCTGATCCACTGTTAACAACTCTGGCTTTATAAGTTTTGATTCATACGGCAAAAACACAAGCTGTTCAAAAGCATAGCAGGGTTTCAAACAACTTCCCTGAAGAAGAAGAATTGCTCAAACATTTATTGAATATGTCTCTTCAAACGTTATTAATTATTCTCAAAATTTTGCATTTCTTCTACACATGTGTAAAAATGACTAAAAAAAATCTCAAAAGACTTACGTTTACGATAAGCATAGTGTTCTCTATTCGCATGCCAAATTCTCCTTTCCCGTAAAAACTCGGTTCTAAATTACAAGGAAACAACTTATGTTTTATTATTCTTATGTCAATAGTCTGCCTTTTAAAAAAAAAAAATTATAAGCAGAATATAATTTTGCGCATAACATCAACTGGAGACATTTACTTCGATAACACAATGTTTATAAAATATTTACAACATCGTCCATTGACATGTAAAAATCAAAACTAGTTTCAGGACTAGGAGCGACCTTTACCGTTTGAGAAAACCATGCCCTCCTCCAGTGTATAATCACGCCAATCAGGGGTCGTTATTAAATCCTGTGGCTGTTTACAAGTGTCTAAAATTTAAATGAAGCAACTATTTTTTATTGTCATGTCTGTATATAAATCTCTTAATAAAGTTTCCATTAATAACTGAAAAACACATACAAATAAGAAAAATCACTCTTCATTCCATTTATGTACGTAAAAGGTTATGCTATTCACATTCTGCATAACTCGCCACGAAAGGATTAATTGGTCTTGGTAAGAAAATACCCACAGACTTTGAACCTGGGTATGGAAATAACATCAACATTTTGTGTGTGCATTCAGCAGTGTGAACGTGGTTATTGGTGTATTTAATCAATTCGTTTTAATTGATGACACGTTATTGAATCATATTATTCGTTATATATTATGCGTCATTCTCTTTGCAGTAAGGTTGCAAACTTAACGAAATGATAATTTTTTATGCCTCCGTAATCGAAGATTCGGAGATATAATAGTTTTTGCCAAGACCTTTCTCGGGGTACCATCAAATATTACCTCTTGACTTTATTTAAATCTTTGAGGATTATTGCTGATTTTTGACAAAAGTTTATTTGTGATATATACGGAGAAAATGGACAGTGTTCAAGTTCAAAAGTCCATTTATAAACAATATAAAGTAGGAACAGAACAAACATGGACCTCCAAAACATCAGAGGACTGATCAGGTATCATGGAGATGTGAGCATCCCCCGCCGACTGGTCACACCCGCCCTGTGCTCCTTGTCATGAATGGGGAAATAACGAAAAAAAAATTCAGTGTGTAAATTATGGTCTGACAATAAGTTTGAATAATGACAGTCAATATTTGACTCAATGATAAGTGTTATTTATACTAATACATATAATGATATGTTTTATTCATACTTTAGGCTGATGTGTAGCTACACTTCATCGAATGAAAAGTCATCATTTTTTAAGTCTTTAGTCCATACAATGACCTTGTCAGCAAATATAATTTATCATTGAGTCAAATGCTGATTGACGTTTTTTAGCCCATTATTTACACACTGAATTGACGACGGACTTTTCCGTTATTTCGCGATCATGACAAGGAGCACACGGCGGGTGTGTCCGGTCGACAGGGGGATGCTCACCCCTCCATGGCACTTGATCCCACCTCTGATGTTTTGGAGGTCCGTGTTTGCTCTACTCCTATTTTGTATTGTTCTATGGACTTTTAATTTTGAACACTGTTCTTTATCTCCATTTGTTTTTTTTATTAAAAATAAATGAATAATTTATACAAAATATTAATAGTTCAAATTAGTGTAGTTACAATTTGTTTACAAACCTTCAGGGTGTTTTTTTAAAATCAAACTTAGTAAAACTTACTACAATCAAATATATGTCTGTCTAAATCAACATCACTTTTCCAGTCTGCAGAGGCGTTAGAAATGGACGCTGGGCCTAAAATTGAAACACAATCTAAAGCATATACAGAGAAATATCTTCGGTGGTAGGGTGTTCAAGACCGAAATGGAACAATATTCAACAATATGACGTTATCAGTCTGAGGTTTCATCTTAGGAACAATGTTTAGTTTATTTTCCAAACTAAGTAGACATGAAATACTAAAAGTCCTTTGAATAATATTCAAATCTGCCCATTTATTTTGTGCATTTTTAACATTTCTCTTAATAATAATAATTTATAACTAGAAACTCTTGTTGCTACAGCAACAAAGAAGGTCTTCCGTTCTCCTCTATTTATCTGCATGAATGAGCTTTTATATATGTTAAAAAAGGCATATAATATTTTAAATGATTTCAGGAAAACAATCAGCCGGAGGTATAACTTACCAAGATTCTTGACTTAACTTTAGACAATTAAATATATGTAAAAAAAAAATCATTTTCAATTATTTTATCACTTTCTGTGACGACCGGAAACGACGGCAGACGCATTTTACCCTATATTTGTTGAACAATCTTCATGGTTTATTATTCATATAAGTTTAGTGTCTTGATCTGTTACAGTTTAAGAGATCTCGTAATATCATCTTCTCATTTTGAGGGCAAGAAATCACGTGACCGGAAGTGAATTTTTGAAAAGATATTTGATGTTACTCTAGACATTTCAGTCTGAATAACATGTCCTTATATCAATTCAAATGCTCTTTTTATTAAAAAAAATATTTATGGGATAGTATGATACTAAAGTTATACAGTTTTTCTTTCATAGCCGGAAGTTGTCGTTTTTGTTTCCAGTGGGACTGACATATTTCAAAACTACAAATAAGATGATATATTAATGTATTACTATGAAAGATTCCATAAGAAAAGTTGAAAATTTTGATTTATTTGTTCACTTCCTGTGATAACTGGAAGTGACGGCGGACAATGTTAACCCAAATGGATTTGCCTACTCATCAAGATATATCACTCCTGTAAGTTTTATGTCTTAATCTCTTACCTTTTACGAGATCTAACTATGATAACTTCTAATTTTGAGGACAGAAAATCACGCAACCGGAAGTGAATTTTACAAAGATAGTTGACGTTACTGTAGACAGTTGCAGTCAGAATAACATATCTAAAAATCGTGACCAATACTTTATATATAAAAAATATTTATGGGAAAGAAAAATACTCAAATTATGTAGTCTTTCTCTTATAACCGGAAGTTGTCATTTTTGTTTCCGGCGGGACTCATATATTTTAAAACGACGAATAGGATACAATAATGTGATGCAAAAAAAGTTTCAATAAAGAAAAGTTAAAATTTTCAATTTCTTTGATCACTTCCTGTGACGACCGGAAGTGACGGCGGATGATGTTATCCCTGTTGGTTTTGCCTACTCATCAAGATCTACCATTCCAATAAGTTTGGTGTCTTAATCTCTTACCATTTACGAGATCTAACTATGAAAACTTCTCATTTTGACAAGAAATACCGGAAGTGAATTTTACAAAGATATTTGACGTTACTGTAGACATTTGCAGTCTGAATAACATATAAAAATCATCACAAATACTTTATATATAAAAAATATTTACGTACTCAAAATATGCAGTTTTTCTCTTATAACCGGAAGTTGTCGTTTTTGTTTCCGGTGGGACTGACATATTTCGAAACTACAAATGAGATGCTATAATATGGTGCAAAAAAAGTTTCAATAAAGAAAAGTTGGAATTTTGGATTTCTTTGATCACTTCCTGTGACGACCGGAAGTGAGACATGAAATACTAAAAGTCCTACTCCTATGATCTCTTACCGTTTCTGAGATATGATTATGACAATATATTTCTGAAGAAAACGGAAATCGGACAAATCTGACGACCGGAAGTGAATTTTGAAAAAACGAAAAAAACGTCTGAGCGTATTTTTTTGCACTACTGAAAATTTCAAGAAAATTCTACAAGAAAAGGGGAAAAATAATAATAATAATAATAATAAAAAGAAACAGTACAATCACTATAAGGTCTTCCGTCTGAAACGGAAGACCTTAATAAATACATATAATTGTTTTAAACTCGAGAATTGAAAGGTTCTTGCAAGATTGGCAGTCAGAATTTACCTTCTACTATGGCGCCATAAGCAGCTACCATATGTCCTATTTCATGCGGAAAATCGACTCCTATTTCATGAAGGGGTTCTCTCACTGCCTTTGTATCTAAATCACGACCTGTGTAATATAAAGGGGGAAATTTGATATTTTCTAAAACAATCTTTAGTCAAGAACCTGATAATTTATTTTTGAATCAAGTGATAAAATCGAATCACCTTTGCTTCCAACTGGAAATGTCTTCTTTGCTAGATTAATGTGCGTCATCAATAAACGTGTGTATATATCCTACAGAGAAATTTTGGTCATTTATTAGAAAACAGAAATGTCTTTATTCTAGTTTGCGATAAATATATATAATTATCTAGACAAATAAAACAACGACAATAAAATTACAGAAAGGAAAACGTAAAAAAAATTTCTTTAAAAGTTTTCATTACAAGTGGTCTATTCTTTTTTTTTTTTAAATAAAAGATACCTTTTGTCTTTCTGAAGGTGTTCCATACACAAATGAACGAGCAATATCCGTGGTGCCATCCCTATGAAAGAAATGCTAAATAATGGGACCACATTTTGATATATTCCCGACTTCATGATACGAACTATTCGGCGTTTACTTACAAATATTGTGCGCCCATGTCAAACAGAAAGACATCCTTTTCTGTGATTACATCATCTGTTATTTTTGGAACCATGGGAAGAGCGGTGGAACCAAATCCAATCAGTGAGGTACCACTTGGCCCTCGATTATAGAGTACTTTCCTGTAATAATATTTAAATGAATTTACGAAAATGTAGGTGTTGTACGGTTAATTTATTTTTAGGGATCCTAATACCTTGAGAAACCATGCTTAATGGAAGATGAAATATTTTGGGAGTTTGTTTGGGTGAAATATGCACAGGGCTATCTATACATGTATACATGTAGAAGATACTGAGAAATTTTTAATACTCACTTTCTCAACTCCTTTGTTTCGGCCTCGATTTCTTGCACGTTCAGAACTTCTCCATTTTTCATCTGTTGGGTATCATGCAAAAAATAGTTATCTTTCTTTCAATGATTTTTTTTGAAATCTCTTTTACATTGTATATTTCTCCACTTACCCTTTCCTCTAGTGCAGCAAAATAGGTTGATAAGAAAATAGATTCTCGCAGCTGTAAAATAAATATTTCAGACTTTACTATGCGAGTTTTCCTTTACTCTAACTCATTCTTCGATTTTTTTTTATAGGTCTTCCTTTGATATATTGATAATTATACTTTACATTTCATAGCATTGATTTAAAACCTTATATTTTTGTGGGGTCTATGTTTGTTCTGCTCTCAATTTGTAATGTTAAAAAGGATTTTAACACATGATTATTATTCTTTATTTTTACATTTATTTTTGCAAAACAACAAATACAAACATATTTAAAAGCCGAAAACAAAAAGTTTACCGTAGAGTTCTTTTTTCCTTGTATCTCACCATTATTTTTCGCTGCTTTGAACACTAAAGGAGGTGAATGTTCCATTAAAACCTTTTCCTGTAATTAAATTCAAGATTGTTTAATGGGAAAACTAACGGATCTAAGAAACATTTATTTATTTATTGAATTAAAGATTAAAGTATCTATACCTTTTCGGTTTGTTTATCTTACCTGTGGAATATCCCACACTTTTCGAACATGTTCATCTTGTGATAATTTGCAAATCTCATCTTTAAACATACTAGGGCTGTATTCTTTGACCTCTACACAATGACCTCTGTCACTCATGACTTCCCTTATTCTCTCACATCTGTCTGCACTATCGTCTTCATACTTGTTGGAATTCGAAAGGCATTTCCAGTGAGCACAACTGCCATCCTTAGATGTGTTGAGGAACTCGTGGATTTTTAGATCCTCTAATTCACAGTTCTGTGTAAGCTTCTTTTCAGCGTGAACGATGTAAAGGCTACTCGTGTAAGAATAAAATAATCGACTTAATTTTGGTAAATTCCTATAGAAAATATTTTTATGATGTATATTGTCTTGCTATTTTAGATTTATAATTTATCATTTATTGCTTACATTTTTACAAACTCTATACCTTATATATCACCATTATCGGCATGTTAGACTCACAAAATGAATGAAATCGCATATATCATGGATAGCACAAAGACTTACTATTTAACTTGTTTAATTAAAACAAGCACATACACAGGGACACAAATATTTAAATACCCTCTTTCCCTGTTTTATAATTTTAAGTAAAATCACTGTCGGCAAGGATCTGATAATGTGAAAAGTTAATTAAATGAATATTGTATTTTTAAATTTGTTAAACATTTCCAAATGTATCCTATTGTTAAATAGTTTGTACAATTCCTTAAATATACTGGGATAATGCAAATTACCTTACATCTCCAGTTCTGGCATTTATGAGGCAAAAGGAGATAAAATATGGATCAAAAGTGAAGTCTCTTGCTCTGATGTTAAATAACCCTGTGAAATAAGGAGAAATATATTTATGAATTTCGAAGTTCTTTGGTCGATACAATGACCTTGTCAACAAATACAATCTCTCATTAAGTAAAATGCTGATTGATGTTTTTCATACTAATTGCCTGGCCATAACGAGTATTTGCACACTGAATAGTCGACGGAATTTCCCGCTATTTCCCCAATAATGACAAAGAGCACGCGGCGAATCAGATTGTGACCACGGACAGGGGAAGCTCACTCCTCCACGGCACCTGGTCCCACCTCTAGAGTTTTGAGGTTTGTGTTTGCTCTGCTCTTGATTTGTTTGAATGGACTTTTGAATGAATAATGTCTGTTATCTCAATATGTATCATGATTAAAATATGAGTAACTAAGGGTTTAATCAGTTTATTTTTTCTGAATAATTTGTATGTTTATGTTTTAAAAAACACGAATATATCAAATGTATGAACATTCAGCTTCTCTGATAAAAAGAGAATGCAACTCATTCAGCTGATTGGTCATTTAGAGAGTATCACCAGTGCCTCGATTTGTGTATTCTTTCGTCAGAAATATAGCTTTGTTGATCTGTATGTAATGGAAAAGGCCAGCTAGTTTTAACAATTTTTGTAAAAAAAAAAAAAAAAAAAAAAAAAAAAAAGAACATGTGTGCGCAGTTGGATACTTCTCCTTTCACATATAGGTAGATTTCAATAAAATGCAGTGACCAGCCAAAGGAGGAAAAGTGTACCTACTTGCGCTTGTATATTTTAATGGCTTCAAAGAGTGGGTCGGAGGTAGATTTCAATAGGAATTGGGTGTAAACATGGTACCCCTACTCAAAATAAAGTCATACATGTTCAAAATTATGTTTCTTTTTTCCGTAAAAGTAGTATTTTATGAGGGTACACTTATCAGAAATTAAGTGGATGCAAAAATTTAGTAAAATTTGCATATTTTTTCACTTTACTGGGGGTCGTACATGTATGTTACATCATCCTTTACAGGAAAAAACAGTAACTTGAAAAATATGTTAAAAGTATTGTAATGACTTTTTCAAGATTAATCAAGGTGAACTAAGATCCGGAAAGGAAACCATATGAAGCATGTGGTTTATACTTTATAACATTATATAAGTAATACATAGAGTACCTTTCAACGAATGTATCTTCAGATATCAGACGAGGGTACTCTTACTATCTGTCTTGTATTTAATTGTTCTCAGGTACCGCGTTACGTGATTTGTCATTTTCACGTTTATTGCAGGTGATTCAAATATATTTTTATGGACTGAGTTAGCCATGATGTATCATTTGATCATATATAATTTATATGACCATTGAAACAAGCATTCTGAAAGTACTGCATTAGCAATACTAGTCCCCGACCGGCAAGTGTAATCTGGTTCCCATTAGAAATTAAAAAAAGCTGTAATTCCGTCAATAAATTCTTGAAGTGGAACATAATGCCACTCACACACCAAATTTAGCTCAATATCTGCTAAAGCATTTGGAAAAAAGTACGAAAAACTCTTAAAAATTAAAAAGACAGTAATTCCCCCAAAAATCAATAAAGGGGAACAAACATCAAACTTGGAAATCAATATACACTTACATACCAAAAATCAGCACAATATCTGCAAGCGTTTAGAAAAAAAAAGTGCGGAAAACCAAGTGGGAAAGACAGACAGACAGACTGACTGACAGACTCAGAGGAAACTAGCTATTTTCCCCTCCGGTTTAGCGCGCTGTATTTCTTTGAATTTTCTACCTCGCCCATTCAAGTCTGAACGCCATGGATGACGGTTGTGATTTATGCTATCGCAATTCTTAGACACGGTGGAAACCGAAATTATAATGATGAGTTATGACAATTATTATTTTACAGAAGAAAATGCAGCTAAACAACCCCCATTTTTTCCTTAAACTTCAGAATGCCAACAAAGGAATTGACGCGATTGATTGAAGTCATATCCTTAATCATAAAAGGAGCCAATATGGTATTCCACCATATTTCAAGTAAAAGACTACATCTTTTTTCCCTACAATATACATCGACTATTGCTTCGAAATTTTTTAACTATAAGAAAACTTTATAGAGCCTGGATGTCGAATATCTGAAACATAATCCTCGTTCATGTTCATATTCTTCTTCACCCTATAACTATAGTCCTGCTGTTCATGTTATTACTGGTGACGTAAATATAAGTTAGTAATGAGGACCTTAGATCACTAATTTTAAAGGTCCTGTATATAGTGAACCCTGACCCTACAACTGGCGTCGTAATTTCAAAAATATTATGGATTCTGTAGATAATTTCGCCAGGCGATGGACCATTATGAAAAAGAAGACCTTGACACTTTGTCAGAATGGATTAAATGTTTGCACAAATTGTGCTCTCCGAATAAAATATATATTGATAGACCGGAGAGCTACAGTACCACCCATTTAATAAACTGTATATTTATTGCGCACAAAAACATGCGCTGTCTCTCGATTTATTTTCTTCATGTTTTTAAAACTGTCATCTCAAAGTATTACTAACCGTATGTTCCTAACATATTCTCTCAATGTTTCCACAACAAAACATTCCTTATAATTGTTGTTAATAGCCCTCCTGGCCCTGAAATTGAGATCATCAAAAATTTCGTCTATTTATACTGCCATTTTGGTTTGCAAGATAATTCGGTCTAACCCGCTTCGTACAGATGTAAACTACGAGAGCAATTGATAGAGGAGTAAAGACTTTATTGAAAATCTAGGTATTTTGCAATTGAGGTAAGAATTTGGAAAAATAATCCAGAACCGGGCGCACTTTTAAATATACAGTTTTTTTAAATGGATGGCACTGTAGCTCTCCGGTCTATCAGTATATATTTTTTTCGGAGAGCTACAGTTCTACAGCTATAAATGTATCTGATGGTAAAATCTCGCATTGAGCGATTGAGGATCAATATGAAAACCCTCTATCCTTTATTTAATAATTCGGAAGTGAAAAGAGATTACACGATCAGCACTGCTGACAAAGACAAGGTAATAACATTTTCTTTGTTTGTTAGGCTCAAGATATAAAATGCATTTTATAAGAACTTGGATGTCATGCTACAAGTGGTAATCCAGCTTCTACTCAAAGCTCCCTTTCGAAGGAGAAGATTTTTCAAAACCATATGTCAGTTTTGAATATTTCTAGTATTTGCATTACCATATCTATATTGATTCCAAACCTTCCTAAAATCCTTACAAACAAAGATACATACCGGGTTCCAGTAAATGTTCCACCAAGTCTCTTTCTTTACTTCTCACTTAGATATTAATAGCAGTGAACCTCAAGAGTACTGTGCAACAATATATTTGAGAAGTGGAGTAAATCAAATATGGATAGTAAAACAATTCCAAGGAACTTTTGGAACATTGGAAATCGCAACATTTTACCAAAATCAACAACATTGAAAACTTACGACTTTTCAACCTCATAGGAGTATACAACCATTCCCCACGATAAATTAAAAGTCAAGGCTTTCTGACATCATTGACGGCTGCTTTCTCAATAAAAACGGAGCAGAAGAGAAGATTTTCAAATAATTAATGCATTTTCACTATATATAATCATTAGAGCCCCCCCCCCCCCAACACCAAAACCTCTGACCCAGAGGCTTGAAATTCACAATTTTGATAGAGGCAACCTTCCTTATCATAATTATGCATTTAGTTTATTTTCATAATACCAAGGAGCAGGGAAGAAGATTTTCAAATAATTAATGCATTTTACACTATATTATTTTATTAGAGCCCCACCCTAACACCAGAACCCTGTCCCTAGGGCCACGAATTTCACAATTTTGGTAGAGTACCCAATGCTGATTACTATCTTGCCATCTGTTTGGCTGTTTGATATCCAGTAGTAAAGAAGAAAATTTTTAAATATTGCATTAATTTTAGTGAGTTTTTTTGCCTCACCCCTCAGGCCACGGGGGGGGGGGGGGGGGGCATGAAATTCACAATTTTTACTTCCACTCACCCATAGATGCTATATGCCAAAATTGGTTGAAATTGGTTTCATGATTTTAGAGAAGAAACTGAAAATGTTTAAATGTTAACACACGACGCACTACGCACGATGCACGACGATGGACGAAAACGATAGCAATAGGTCACCTGAGTAAACTGAGGCGCAGTGATTTGTGCTGGAATTTAAAAAACAAAACGGCTCGGAATATCCATCTCATTCCCCATACTGCATTCTGTGTGATTTGTTACGCTCTAAGATTATGAGAGACCGAGGAGAGAACTTTCATTTAAAAATGTGCTGTGTAAATTCCATTTTGGATTTAAAAATTGACGTGCAGAATTTTGATTTTTTTTATGTAATGAAAGGTATACCTCGACTGTGTTTATATTAGTTTTTATTTCCTAATAAATTTGGCTATTTTGTTTATTCAAAGTAAGAGGTCAAGTATGAGGCGCTGTTTTGGTATTTACTATTCAATTGGTGATATAACCTATCTGAATAAGTATATCACCTATTCGAAAAGGTGATTTCACTTATTTGAATAAGTGATATCGCCAATTCAAATAGGTGATATCATAAATTCAAAAAGATGATATCACCTAATCATTTTGAATATGATATCACTTATTCGAAAAGGTGATATCACATATTCAAATTATTTATGGAATAACAACTGCTCCCAAGAATATAGTGTCTTTCAGTCTCATTTACTTTCACTTTTTATAACAGCATTTTTGGAGACAACGGATTACAGCTTCGCATTTAGTTTTAAGCACCCCAGTAGAACTTGTAGTTTGTTTTGCTCGCAAATTTTATTTATTACACTTATCTATCATATGTACTAAAGGAAAAATCGTGAAAAACGCCTAAGACATGGAACTGTTCCATACAAAAAATGTCTATCCTTACATTATAAAGAGATGAAGGTATGCCACACTCTTGTTCCCCAGCTGGGTATAATTTACACAATTTATATAACTTTGCAGGGATCGATAATATAAGGTATTTAAAA